TAGGTCTATAGGCTTGTGCTACCACCCCTGGCTAATTTTTTAGAAAAGCAACGTGATTGTGATTCCTGGCTAATTTTTTAATTTTTAATTTTAATTTTTATAGAAATGGAGTTTCTGTATGTTGCCCAGGCTGGTCTCCTACTCCCGAGCTCAATTAATTTTCCTGCCTTGGCCTCCCAGTGTGCCGGGATTACAGGCCTGGAATTGCATGTCTAATCTCTATACCATTTTAATAGGGAGAAAGGACATTTACTGTAAAACAGATGACTTGTAGGAAGGATAAATGGTCGCTTAGAATGGATATGATAGTTTTATGATGATGTCTGTTTAGCTGTGATGTACAAATTACTCATCTCAAGTGATGAGTCAGATTGACATCTTCCTGGTTGCCCCTGGGAAGTAGATTATGAAAATTGAGTTCTTTTGGAAGGCTCTGCTTTAGGCAGATAAGAGATTTTAGGAATTCAAATGCCTTCTGCTTAAAATAATTTTTATACCATAGTAGTGTATTCTGGGCCCCTTCCCAATCACTGACCCATTATTTTGATCGGCTACTTAGTAATGACTGTTTTAACAGAATTTAAAAAATTACCCATTTAGTGAAAGTGTCATTATATATTTATTACTACACTTCTTTTTTTTTTTTTTTTTTTGAGACGGAATTTTGCTCTTGTTACTCAGGCTGGAGTGCAATGGCACGATCTCGGCTCACTGCAACCTCCGCCTCCTGGGTTCAAGCAATTCTCCTGCCTCAGTCTCCCGAGTAGCTGGGACTACAGGCACCCGCCACCATGCCCAGCTAATTTTTGTATTTTCAGTAGAGACAGGGTTTCACCATGTTGACCAGGATGGTCTCGATCTCTTGACCTTGTGATCCACCTGCCTCGGCCTCCCGAAGTGCTGGGATTACAGGCGTGAGCCACCACGCCCGGCCATTACTCCACTTCTCGTGAACTGCTTGCAAATTGATTCTTGTAAGATTTTCACATAGTGGGGAGGGATGTCAGAAAAAAATAATTTTCATCTAATAGTTACTCACAATAGGTCTGTGATGGTGACTACCACAAAACAAGTTCTTTTGTATTAGTCTTCCTGCCAGTTGGCTTTATGACTGACTGCATTTTTTTTTTTTTTTTCTTTTTTTGAGACAGGAGACAGGGTCTTACTTTGTCACATTGGAGTGCAGTGGTGTGAACACAGCTCCCTGCAGCCTTAACCTCCTGTGTTCAGTGATCCTCCTGCCTCGGCCCCCAAGTAGCTGGGACTTCCAGGCATGTGTCACACAGGTATGCCCCACCATGCCCAGCTAATTCTTATATTTTTTATAGAGATGAGGTCTTACTGTTGTGTCCAGGCTGGTCTCAAACTCCTGACTCAAGCTATGTGCCTGCTTTGGCATCTCAAAATGTTGGGATTATAGGTGTGAGCCACTGTGCCCAGCATATTTTCATCTTTATTGACCTGTCAAATTTTTGCTTATTTTGTATATTTTGATTATATTTGGCTTTCACTTGGCTGCATCTGGCTTGAAGGCACATCTTTAGCATATTAGCTTGCGATAAGATTGTAAATACAACCAGGCGTGTTTGTTCATGCCTGTAATCCTAGCACTTAAAGATTACTTGAGTTCAGGAATTTGAGACCAGCCTGGGCAACATAGTGAGCCTCTGTCTCTACAAAAAAAAAAAAAAAAGTTAGCTGGGTTTGGTAGTGCATACCTGTAGTCCCAGCTTCTCTGGAGGCTTGGATGGGAGGATTGCTTGAGCCCAGGAAGTCAGGGCTACAGTGAGCCATGATTGTACCACTGCACTCCAGCTTGGACAACAGAGTGAGATGCTGTCGCAGTCAATCAATCAATAAGTAAGTAAATAAATAAATAAAATTGTAATACAAATATGAAACTAGGCCAGGAAATCTTGTGGCAACATTAGGCTGTGAGGTTGCCTATTTTTATCCAAATGACCCAAAATAGGCTTATAAATTAATTTTTTACAAATATTTTCATTTATTCAAACATGTCTGTATTCCCTCTGCTACTGTTTAGTCCATCTTTTTTTTTTTGTCACCCAGGCTGGAGTGCAGTGGTGTGATCCTCCTGCCTCAGCTCAGCCTCGACCTCCTGGGTTCGAGTGATTCTCTTGCCTCAGTCCCCTAAGGAGCTAGGACCACAGGCACACACCAAGGCCAGCTACTTTATTTATTTATTTAATTTTTTTAAATTTTAAGACGGAGTTTCGCTCTTGTTACCCAGGCTGGAGTGCAATGGCGCGATCTCGGCTCACCGCAACCTCCGCCTCCTGGGTTCAGGCAATTCTCCTGCCTCAGCCTCCTGAGTAGCTGGGATTACAGGCATGTGCCACCGTGCCCAGCTAATTTTTTGTATTTTTAGTAGAGACAGCGTTTCACCATGTTGACCAGGATGGTCTCGATCTCTTGACCTCGTGATCCACCCGCCTCAGCCTCCCAAAGTGCTGGGATTACAGGCATGAGCCACTGTGCCCGGCTTTTTTTTTTTTTTTAAAAGATGGGATTTCACCATGATGGACAGGCTGGTCTTGAACTCCCGACCTCAGGTGATCCACCCACCTTGTCCTCCCAAAGTGTTAGGATTACAGGCATGAGCCACTGCGCCCTGCCACTTTTTGTATTTTTTATAGACATGGGGCTTTGTCATGTTGCCCAGGCTAGTCTTGAACTCCTGGGCTCAAGCTATCCACCTGCCTCAGCCTCCCCAGCTGCTGGGATTACAGACATGAGCCACTACACTGGCCTTCATTGTGGTTTTCATTTGCATTTCTGTTAGGACTAATGATGTTTGTATTTCTTTTTTATTTATTTCTTTTTTTTTTTAAAGATGGGGTTTCACCATGATGGCCAGGCTAGTCTTGAACTCCTGACCTCAGGTGATCCACCCACCTCGGCCTCCCAAAGTGCTAGGATTACAGACGTGAGCCACCGTGCCCAGCCTGATGTTTGTATTTCTTAATGACTAATGATGTTGAATGTTTTGGCATGTGCTTAATGACATTTGGCATAGCTGTCTTCTTTGGAAGTATATTTGAATGTCTAAGTCCTTTGCTTATTTTTTAATTGGGTTATGCGTTTTTTTTACTGACTATAAGAATGTGTGTTTTACTTTATCTTTTAGAGTATTGCTATATTCATTTGCAAGACTAATTTTTCCTCCTTTTATTGGAAGGTCCTGTCCAAAATGCACTGCTGTCTTCACAAGAGTCAGTGAGCCAAGGATACGGTTTCCAGCTTCCGGGATCCTACCCTCATCTAATACCAGCAAAGACTTTGAATCCAGTCTCTGGACAATCTAACCATGGTAGTTCTCAGGGATCTGGTCAGACTTTTAATAGACCACCCGTGGCCTCTAATCCAATGACACCTTTGCTTCATAGTGATCCTGCTTCCCAATTGCCATTACCTGCTTCTCAGAACCCATCTTCTACACCATTGCCTTCTGGTAGCTTTCTTCCTGGAGCCAATCTGCCACCGCCTTTGAATTGGCAATATAACTATCCATCCACAGGCTCACAAACAAACCATTGTCCTCGTGCATCATCCCAACCAACTGTATCTGGAAATACAAGTCTAACCACAAATCATCAATATGTTTCTTCTGGATATCCTTCACCTCAAAATACCCTCATAAAGTCAGGTAGTATTCTTATAGAAGTGCTTAAAATATAGAAATGTGAAACTTTTGCTTATTTAGATGTTTGAAATAATACTTGAAACCTTAAAACCATATGGAAAATGTGACTTTAAAAAATCATTTGTAGTTTTCATTGTTGTTTTTTCGTTTTTGTGTTTTCCAGCAAAAAACTAGAAAGCCTGCTAGACAAATTCTAAACAAGCTGTAACACTTATTAAAACTTTTCCTTTTTTTTCTTTTTTCTTTTTCTTTTTTGAGATGGAGTCTTGCTCTGTCACCCAGACTGGAATGCAGTGCACAATCTCAGCTCACTGCAACCTCCATCTCCCAGGTTCAAGTGATTCTCCTGCCTCAGCCTCCCCTGAGACTATAGGCGTGACCACCATGCTTGGCTAATGTTTGTATTTTTTGTAGAGACAGGTTTTTGTGGGTTTTTTTGATACAGATTTTCGCTCTTGTCGCCCAGGCTGGAGTGCAATGGTGCGATCTATGCTTATTGCAACCTCCACTTCCCAGGTTCAAGTGATTCTCCTGCCTCAGTCTCCCAAATAGCTGGGATTACAGGTGCCTGCCACTATAGCTGGCTAATTTTGTACTTTTTGTTATAGAGACAGGGTTTCAGCATGTTGGCCAGACTGGTCTTGAATTCCTGACCTCAGGTGATCTGCCTGCCTCAGCCTCTCAAGATGCTTAGATTACAGGCATGAGCCACTGCACTTGGCCAAGACAGGGTTTTACCATGTTGGCCAGGCCGGTCTGGAACTCCTGACCTCAAGAGATCCACCTGCCTTGGCCTCCCAAAGCGCTGGGATTATAGGCGTGTGAGCTACGGTACCTGACCTCATTAGCAGTTTTTAAATAAATTAATTTTCTAACCTTTGAATTGACTGAAATAACTTAAATTTGTGCATTTTTCCTGCTTTGCTTCTTTCTAGTCTTTTTCTTTGAGTCACCCATAATATTTCAGAGACTCAAGTTTGCGTGCAGAACCACCTTACGCAGACTGGCTATTACTTTAATGAACTAGGTTCCATCTTACAGTCAAGGCTGAATGAATCCCTGTGGTCTCGCTTTCTTTCTTTCTTTTTTTTTTTTGAGATGGAGTTTTGCTCTTGTTGCTCAGGCTGGAGTGCAATGGCACAATCTTAGCTCACTACAACCTCCGCCTCCTGGGTTCAAGCAATTTTCCAAGTAGCTGGGATTACAGGTATGTGCCACCACGCCTGGCTAATTTTATTTTTTTTAGTAGAGACAAGGTTTCTCCATGTTCCCCAGGCTGGTCTCGAACTCCTGAGTTCAAGTGATTCTCCCACTTCGGCATCCCAAAGTGCTGGAATTATAGGCATGAGCCACCGTGTATGTCTATTTTAATGTCTGTAAAACATATTGATTATTGTAGCTTTGTAGTAAACTTTGAATTTGAAAAGTATGACTCTTCTAACTTTGTTTTCAAGATTGTTTTGGCTCTTCTGGTTCTCTTGAATTTCGTAAGAATTTTAGGATCAGTTTGTCAATTTTTGTAAAAAGAGATAGCTGGGGTCAGGCACAGTGGCTCATACCTGTAATACCAGCACTTTGGAGGCTGAGATGAGTGGATCACTTGGGCTCAGGAGTTTGAGACTAGCCTGGGTGACAGACATGGCGAAACACTGCCTCTTCAAAAAATTAGCTAGGCATGGTGGCACACATTTGTGGCCCCAGCTACTTGGTTGGCTGAGGTGGGAAGATAGCTTGAGCCCAGGGAGATCAGGTGTCCAGTGAGCTGAGTTTGCACCACTGCACTCCAGCCTGGATGAGTTACACTTTTTCTCAAAAAAAAAAAAAAAAAGATATCTGGAATTTTCGTAGAGATTGTGTTGAATCAGTTTGAGGAGAAAGCTGCATATTATATATTCTTAGACTGACTTTTATCTTTTTATCTTTTAACATCAGTGTTTAGTTGGATTTTTCCTTTTTTGCTATTAAAATTAGCAAGGTGTTACACTTTTTTTTTTTTTTTTGGAGACAGAGTTTCGCTCCTGTTACCCAGGCTGGAGTGCAATGGTGCGATCTCGGCTCACCACAACCTCCGCCTCCTGGGTTCAGGCAATTCTCCTGCCTCAGTCTCCTGAGTAGCTGGGATTACAGGCACGCGCCACCATGCCCAGCTAATTTTTTGTATTTTTTTAGTAGAGACGGGGTTTCACCATGTTGACCGGGATGGTCTTGATCTCTTGACCTCGTGATCCACCCGCCTCGGCCTCCCAAAGTGCTGGGATTACAGGCTTGAACATTTTTTTTTTTTTATTTTGAGTCTTGCTCTGTGGCCCAGGCTAGAGCGCAGTGGCATGATCTCGGCTCACTGCAACCTCTGCCTCCCAGGTTCAAGCAATTCTCTTGCCTCAGCCTCCAGAGTAGCTGGAATTACAGACACGTGCCACTGCACTCGGCTAATTTTTTGTATTTTTATTAGAGACAGGTTTCACCATATGGGCTAGGCTGGTCTTGAACACCTGACCTCAGGTAATCCACCAGCCTCAGCCTCCCAAAATGCTAGGATTACAGGTGTGAGCCACCACACCCAGCCATATTTATTAACATTAGTAGTATTTGAAAATCATTTAAAATTCCATATTGGGATCTGCAGGTTGATGCTGCTCAACAGACATCCTTAAGTTTATGAATTAGTGAAGGCTTCCAAGTGAAATAGTAATATCAATAGCTATCTTTTACAGTTTGTGTGTGTTTATGTAGCATATACTCCATCAGGCTTGTAGATTAATGGCTGAAACTTTATTTTTCCAAGCCTTTGATCAGACATTGGCTCTGGTGAATGCATTTTGGTCTTGTAAAGATTAAAGCTGCTTCTAGAAACTTAAGTGTCTTTATGGAAATCTTCTGACCTGCAATTGCTAGAGCCAAAATCCTTCACATTACTTTTGTCCTAATTCATTTGATACCATGAGTGAGCATCAGTCACTTGAAATGAATGAATATGGTGGTGCATGCCTGTGGTCCCAGCTACTCAAGAGGCTGAAGTGGGGGAATTGCTTGAGCCCAGTTAGTCGAGGCTGCAGTGAGCTGTGATTGCCCCACTACACTCTAGCCTAGGTGACAAATTGAGACTCTGTTTCCAAAAAAAAAAGTCTTTAAAAAGATGGTATTTATATTATTTTCCAGACTCTACCAAACTTTTATATACATTATCTGTTTTTGTGTTTTGTTTTTTATTTTTTAGAGATAGGCTGTCTCTCTGTTTCCCAGGCTGGAGTGCAGTGGCACAATCATAGCTCACTGTGACATCAAACTGGGCTCAAACTATCCTCCAGCCTCACCTCCCTGGGTAGGTGTGCCACAGTGCCTGGCTAGTCTTGTTGTTTATTTTTTGTAGAGTCAGAGTCTTATCCTGCCACCCAGGGTAGAGTACAGTGGCACCATCATAGCTCACTATAACTGCAACATAGCTCACTGTAATTGCTGATCTCAAGTGATCCTGCTGCCTGGAACTCCTAAAGTTCTGGGATTACAGGTGTGAGCCACCTAGCCAGGCCTGCATTATCTTTATAACAATCTCTTACTGATGTGAAGTGTAAGACTTGAATAATTTGTCCAAAACCACAATAAAATAGTTTGGGAAAACATTTAAAAACTATTTAAGGGCCAGGCATGGTAGCTCCTGCCTATAATACTAGTACTTTGGGAGGCTGAGGTAGGAGTTACCCACTTGAGGCCAGGAGTTCAAGACTAGCCTGAGCAAAACAGCAAGACCCCATCTCTATTTTTTTAAAATAATTTTATTTAAAAATAAATAAATAATACAAACTATTTAAGAATCGGTGTAGCTTCTCTTAAAAAGGTACATTATCAACAATCTGAAATGTCTTTAGCTATAACAGAAACCCTCAGGTGGTGAACCTTGTCTCCAGTATGGATGTGGTGAGAGAGAGATATATAAGTGCTGAGGCTGGGCATGGTGGCTCGCACCTGTAATCCTAGCACTTTGGGAGACTGAGGCAGGTGGATCAACTGAGGTCAGGAGTTCGAGACCAGCCTGGACAGCATGATGAAAACCCTGTCTCTACTAGAAATACAAAAATTAGGCAGGTATGGTGGCACATTCCTGCAATCCCAGCTACTCAGGAGGCTAAGGCAGGAGAATTGCTTGAACCCAGGAGGCGGAGGTTGCTGTGAGCTGAGATCTTGTCACTGCACTCCAGCCTGGGCAACAGCAAGACTCTGTCTCAAAAAAAAAAAAAAAGGTGCTGAAACTTATGAAAGAAGGAGAAATAAAAACATATCAACTGGCCGGATGTGGGGTCTCACGCCTGTAATCCCAGCTCTTTGGGAGGCCGAGGTGGGCGGATTACAAGGTCAGGAGTTTGAGACCAGTCTGGTAAACCTGGTGAAACTACGTCTTTACTAAAAACACAAAAATTAGCCAGGCATGGTAGCACACACCTATAATCCTAGCTCCTCAGGGGACTAACAAAGAAGAATTGCTTGAACCTCCTCCTTTAGTGGAGTTTGCAATGAGCCAAGATTGCGCCACTGCACTCCAGCCTGGGAGACAGAGCAAGACTAAAAAAAAAAAAATTATATATATATGCACACATGCTAGTAAAATGTATTTAAAAAAGAGCCTTCTTTTTTCTCATTTGAACCTTCAAAGAACCTTCAAACTCCTCATTTTTTTTCTGTTTGTCCAACTCATAACTGATAGTTGGTATCTGATAGTCTGATATCAAAGCTGTATCTATTTTATACTAAGTTTTTAGTTCATATATTAAAATTTCCTGAATTTTTTAAATAGTCTACCTTTTAGCTGAGAGGGCAGACTCTGAAACTCTAATTATTAGTGCCGTAAATAAGAATTATTCAACCTTGAAAAATGTTCATTTTATGAAACATATGATAATCTCTTCAAAAATATTCTTCTAAAAGCTATGAAAATCTCTATAGGCTTACTTTTATTCTGTTAAACATTAGGTTGTAGGTTGTTACATCTTTGTGGCCAGATGTATCTTACATTCTTGTTCATGCTGAGTTGGTAATGTACCTTGCCCCTTTGTTTCTTTGACTTGTCTGTATTGCCCTAGATATGTGTGAGCACTTTTTTGATAAGGGAGTTAGATGGCAATGATCTTTGTCTTCAGTTTTGTCAACAAGGCACTGATTAATTTTGTTGGGTGTAAGGTTCAGTAATAGGCAATTTTTCTTTTTTTGTTTTCTTGAGATGGAGTCTTGCTCTGTTGCCCAGGCTGGAGTGCCATTTTGAAAAATTTCCAAACTGGGTACATTTATTCCTTTAGTTTTGTAAAATATAAGATTAGCTGTGTTATAAGTAAAATTTATTACCTATTTCGCTTAAAAACTCAGGTATTAAAAAAAAGTCTTGGAATGAAAAATCAGCATACATTTATCAATGGTATTTTGTCTACTCTGTAGACTTTATTATTCTACTTTAGTAAATGAGAAGGTGGAAGCAATGTAGTTAATTTGAAAGAACAGGTGGTTGTGTGTTTTGAAACTTTGATATCACATAGAATAATTTCCCTAAGGATAACTGATCATGTTTTTACACTTGTTTTTGAACTTATCGTCCAAATAGAAAAATGATGAAGTTAGGGCAGTGAGATACTGGTAGATAGAAGAACAAATACCATGTCATTTAAAAAAAATTTTAATCTAATTAAATTTATTTTTTTATTTTATTTTATTTTTTTGCTTGTCTTCAACTGTCTTGATTGAGTTATATATTTTATTTTATTTTTTTAGTAGAGACAGGGTTTCTCCATGTTAGTCAGGCTGGTCTCGAACTCTCGACCTCAAGTGATCCTCCCGCCTTGGCCTCCCAAGGTGCTGGGATTACAGGTGTGAGCCACTGAGCCTTGCCTACCATGTCATTCTTAGTTTATTGTCTTCTTCTTTTTTTTTTCTACTAAAACTATTTTTTTGTTTGTTTGTTTTTGTTTTAAGGGACAGGTTTTCACCATCTTGGTTGGGTTGGTCTTGAACTCCTGACCATGTGATCCACCTGCCTCGGCCTCCCAAAGTGCTGGGATTACACACCCAGCCCTTAGTTTATTTTGATGAATATTTTATTTTATAATGTTTATATATGAACTTTGGATCAATTCCGATTTTTAAGCCTAGAGAATGTTGTTAATATAATGTTACAGAATTATATAATGTTAATATTAGGCTGTTATAGAAGGTAAACTAGGTTTCTCATTTTTAACAGGTTATACCCTAATAAAACAAAGGAAAATGAAATTTAGAGAATTTAGAATAACATGTATTTTTATTTACTTGTTTCTGTGGAGATTTGGCCTCTCTATGTTGCACAGTCTAGTCTTGAATTCCTAGCTTCCTGCCTTGGTTTCCCAAAGTCCTGGGATTATAGACATGCACCACTGTGCCTGGCCCCCAGGCTGAAGTGCAGTGGCAGGATCTTGGCTCACTGCAACTTCTACCTCCCGGGTTCAAATGATTCTCCTGCCTCAGTTTCCCAGGTAGCTGGGATTACAGGTGCCCACCACCACACATGGCTAATTTTTTGTATTTTTAGTAGAGACAGGGTTTCACCATGTTGGCCAGGCTGGTTTCGAACTCTTGACTACAGGTGATCTACTCTACCTGGCCCGGCCCTCTATTTTTAGACTCACTCTAAACTTAGAGTGAGTTAATGGAACAGTCTATGTTAGTAAACAAAATTAACAAAATATTACAAAATTAGTAACATTAAAATAGTTATGTTAATTTGTACTAGAATGTATCTCACATGGCCTATTGAACCTAATGATCAGTTTTTTGTATTTTTTTTGTTTTTTGAGACAGAGTTTCACTCTTGCTACCCAGGCTGGAGTGCAATGGCGCGATCTTGGCTCACCGCAGCCTCCGCCTCCTGGGTTCAGGCAATACTCCCCGCTCAGCCTCCTGCATAGCTGGGATTACAGGCACGCGCCACCACATCCAGCTGATTTTTTGTATTTTTAATAGAGTCGGGGTTTCACCACGTTGACCAGGATGGTCTCGATCTCTTGACCTCGTGATCCACCCACCTTGGCCTCCCAAAGTGCTGGGATTACAGCAGGCGTGAGCCACCACTCCCGGCTATTTCGTTTTTTTAAATAGAGATGGGGTGTCACCATGTTGGCCAGGGTGGTCTCGATCTCCTGACCTCAGGTGATCTTCCACCCATCTTGGCCTCCCAAAGTGCTGGGATTACAGGTGTGAGCCACTGCGCCCGGTCGTGATCAGTTTATAAAAAATTAATAAACACGGCTGGCCAAGTACAGTGGCTTATGCCTGTAATCCCACCACTTTGGGAGGGCAAGACAGGAGGATCACTGGAGCCCTGGAATTTAAGAACAGCCTGGGCAACAAAATGAGACCCCCCCTTCTCTATTTTATTAAAATTTTAAAAAAATAATAAAAACAAACAGGGCAATGTATCTACTTTAAAAGTGTTTTCATCCAAATTTTCTATTTATTCTGCTCTAATAATTGACAGGTAAGAGACCTGGTAGGGGAGAGTTAGAAATTTCTAAAATATGGTCCAGGCAAAGTGGCTCATGCCTGTAATCCAGCACTTTCGGAGGCCAAGGTGGGAGGATCACCTGAGGTCAGAAGTTCAAGACCAGCCTGGCCAACATGGTTAAACCCCAACTCTACTAAATATACAAAAAATTAGCCAGGCAAGGCGTCGCATGCGTGTAACTGCAGCACTTAGGAGGCTGAGGCAGGAGAATCCCTTGAACCAGGGAGGTAGAGGTTGCAGTGAGTTGAGATCTCACTAATCCACTCCAGCCTGGGCGACAAAAAAAAAAAAAAAGAGAGAGAGAGTGAGAGAGAAAGAAAGGAAAGAAGGAAAGAAAGAGAAAGAAATGTGTAAACTATGCACATAGATTGAAACATTGTAAATTTAGGAAATTAACATGTTTCTGGTAATGTTTTGGTGATTATAATTTAAATGTAAGGTTGGAAATTACTCAGCTTTGGTAAAAGGCTGGTTTTGGCAATTGTCTTAAGTTCTTAAATGACATGTGAAAAACCAATGTTTCCATAGGTTCATCTGTACCTCCCTTAGTGAATCCACCTCTGCCTACGATTTTTCAACCAGGAGCTCCTCATGGGCCCCCTCCAGCTGGAGGCCCACCCCCAATAAGCGCCCTCACACCCCAGAAATCATCATATAGACATGTACCCCAGCCCTCATTTAATTCATCTGTCAACCAAGAAGGTAAGTTAAGTGAATCAAGAAACAAAGTCAAGTTCTTAAAGTTGTTTTTTTTTTTAATTTGAGACATAGCCTCACTCTGTAGCCCAAGCTAGAGTGCAGTGGTATAATCTCAGCTCTCTGCAGCTTTTGCCTCTGGGGCTCAAGCGATTCTCAAGCTTCAGCCTCCCATGTAGCTGGGACTGGAGGCGTGCGCCACCACACCTAGTTAATTAATTAATTAATTATTATTATTATTTTTTAAGATGTCACCATGTTGGTCAGGCTGGTCTTGAACTCCTGACCTCAGGTCATCGCCTGCCTTGGTCTCCAAAGTGCTTGGATTACAGGTGTGAGCCACCACGCCCGGCAGTTTTTTGGTATTTTTAGTAGAGATGGGGTTTCACCATGTTGCCCTGGGTGGTCTCGAACTCCTGAGCTCAGGCGATTCTGCCTTGACCTCCCAAGGTGCTGGGATTACAGGTGTGAGCTTCGCACCCGGCCAAGGAGAATCGCTCGAACCCAAGAGGCGGAGGTTGCAGTGAGCTAAGATCATACCACTACACTCCAGCCTGGGTGACAAAATAAGACTCAGTCTCAAAAAAAAAAAAAAAGTAACAGAATGATGAGGCTTTGTCTCATTGATTGCCACAGTATTACTTTGGAGATCAAGTTACCATAAATACTTATTTTAAAAAAATTTTTTAAAAGCATTCACTCTGTCACCCAGGCTGGAGTGCAGTGGTGTGAGAATAGCTCACTGTAGCCTCAGCCTTTTGGTCTCACACAATCTTCCTGCCTCAGCTTCTGGAGTAGCAGGAACTAAAGGTGTATACCACCACACCCAGCTAGTTTTTTGTTTTTATTTTAGAGACAGAGTCTCACTCTGTTGCCCAGGCTGGAGTGTGGTAGAAGGATCTCAGCTTACTGCAGCTTCTGTCCCCTAGGTTCAAGTGATTCTTGTGCCCCAGTCTTCCTCATAGCTTAGATTACAGGCATGCGCCACCACACCTGGCTAATTTTTAGATTTTCAGTAGAGACAGGGTTTTCCCATGTTGCCCAGGCTGGTGTGAATTCCTGAACTCAAGTGATCTGCCCACTTTGGCCTCCGAAAGTGCTGGAATTACAGGTGTGAACTTCTACACCTGGCTTATATTTTTTAACAACTAAAGAGAATTCACAATATGCCCAGTGATTTTGTTTCTGCTAAAAGTTTTACTGTGATTTTCTGTTATTAATTCATGGCTAAAGTCAAGTTGGTCTTGAGAACTGGAAAGAAGTTACTGACTTTATTTTTTTATTATTTATTTATTTATTTTGAAATGGAGTCTCATTATCATCAAGCATGCTGGAGTGCAGTGTGGCAATCTTGGCTCACTGCAATCTCCACCTCCCAGGTTCAGGTGATTTTCCTTAAGCCTCTTGAGTAGCTGGGAATACAGGCAGGGTTTCACCATGTTGGCCAGATTGGTCTGAAACTCCTGACCTCAGGTGATCCACCTGCCTTGGCCTTCCAGAGTGTTAGGGTTACTGGCATGAGCCACTGCACCCAGCTAGTTACTTACTTTAAATGGTTAAATTTATCTGCTTCATGTTAATAGCTATTGAAGTTAGCAATGTTGTACTTAAGTGCTAGAGGTTAATGCTGTTTGCTGAATTTGTTTCTTCTTTTCCTGAATTAGAACTCATAAATAACAGAGGTAACTGGAAATAAATATTTAGTTCTCATAAGCCCATGCCCCTGGCATTTGTCTTTAATCCTGTATCATTTGGGGAGAAGAGATGTTAAGATTTTAATTCTGTTTTAGTGGTTGTTCTCTAGACTTAAAGCAGTTCTAATTCATTTATATCACCTTCAAATTAATTTTGGATTCCACTCTATTAAATATTTTGAAAATCAGGTCTTTGTTCCTCGTAATTTTACTTTCTTTTTTTGTTTGTTTGCTTTTTTGAGATGGAGTTTCTCTCTGTCACCTAGGCTGGAGTGCAGTGGCACAATCTCAGCTCACAGCAACCTCCGCCTCCTGGGTTCGAGCAGTTCTCCTCCCTTAGCCTCTCAAGTATTTGAGATTACAGGCACTCGCCACCACACCTGGCTAATTTTTTTTGTATTTTTAGTAGAGATGGGATTTCTGGTAGAGACAAGTTTGCTCCTGATCTCGTGATCTGCCCGCCTCAGACTCCCAAAGTGCTAGGATTACAGGCATGAGCCACTATGCCTAGCCTCTTTTTCTTTAAGTAGTTTTGATTTTGATAATTTTTTTTCATTGTGTACTGCTCTTTAGAGGGTTTTTTGTTGTTGTTTTTTGTGTTTTTTTTTTTTAAGATGGGGTTTCACCATGATGGCCAGGCTGGTCTTAAACTCCTGGCCTCAGGTGATCCACCCACCTCGGCCTCCGAAAGTGCTAGGATTACAGGTGTGAGCCACTACGTGCGGCCATTTTTTTTCTTTTTTCTTTTTTCTTTTTTTTTTTGAGACAGAGTCTCGCTTTGTCACCCAGGCTGGAGTGGGGATGTGCTATCTCAGCTCATTGCAGCCTCCACTTTCTGGGTTCAAGCAATTCTCCTGCCTCAGCCTCCCGAGTAGCTGGGTCTGCAGGCGCCCACCACCAAGCCCAGCTAATTTTTGTATTTTTAGTTGAGATGGGGTTCAACCTTGTTGGCCAGGCTGGTCTCACTCCTGACCTCAAGTGATCCACCAGCCTCAGCCTCCCAAAGTGCTGGGATTATAGGCATGAGCCACTGCACCTAGCCCCTTAGAGGTTTTTAATGCAGCTCTCACAATTGCTGAAATCTTTCATATGGTATATAATTTTATAAATTTCATAAAGAACCACCCATTGCTGGAAGTTATTTTGCTGGAGTGGGTTATGAAAAAGCCTTGTTATTTGGGTTTTTGGTCTAGATACAACATAAGGTGAAAAGACTCCTCCCAAGGACTCATGTTTTTTTTCCCCTGAAGTTGCAGCTAAATTATTTGAAACTATTGTATATGTAAAAACTGGGATTTTTGATGTTTTTAATAGGCTGTTGTTTTAAACTATTTGTTATTTAGAAAATTATCTAAAATTTTGGATATTAGTTCAAATTATACAGAGATTGTAATAATTATTCTAATTAAAATCTTGTTAATGAACTTCATTCTTAGGTATTACATCAAATATCAATAATGGATCTACAGTGGTCCACAGTAGCTACGATGAGATTGAAGGAGGTGGCTTCTTGGGTGAGATGCTATGAAAGTTTTTTTTTTAATCTCTTTTTTCTGATTATAGAAATAATATGTGGTCATTGCAGAAATGTATGCTCATTATAGGAAACTTTATGTAGCCATACATACTATTAACTTTATTTATTTATTGGACACAGGGTCTCACTCTATTGCTCAGGCTGTGGAGTGCAGTGGTGTAATTATGGCTCACTGCAGCCTTAGTCTTCTGGGCTCAAGCAGTCCTCCCACTTCAGCCTCCTGAGAAACTAGAACTAACTATAGGCACATGCCACCATATCCAGCTTTTTGTTGTTTTGTTTTTTTTTCTACTTTTGAGACTGAGTCTCGCTCTGTTGCTTAAGCTGGAGTGCAATGGCGAGATCTCGGTTCACTGCAATCTCTGCCTCCCAGGTTCAAGTGATTCTCCCAACTCACCCTCACAATTAGCTGGGATTAGAGGCGCCCACCACCACACCCTGTTAATTTTTATATTTTTAGTAGAGATGGGATTTCGCCATGTTGGCCAGGCTGTTCTCAAACTGCTGACTGAAAGTGATCTACCTGCCTTGGCTTCCCAAAGTGCTGGGATTGTATGCATGAGCCACTGTGCCCGGCCCCTGGCTAATTTTTGTACGTTTTGTAAAGGCAGGGTTTCACCATGTTACCCAGGATGTCTTGAATTCCTGGCTTAAGCGATTTTCCCATTTTGCCCTTCCAAAGTGCTGGGATAATAAGCATGTGCCACAATATCTGTCTCTACTATTTAACATTTTTTTATTTCTGTGCATTAGATTTGTTCTTATTCCTGTCAGAATTGGGATCATGGACTTTATTATTACTATGTTTTGACTATAGAGCACATTTAGAATTTTTTTTTTTTTTTTTTAGGAACAAGGTCTCTGTCACCCAGGCTCAAGTGCAGTAGCGCTGTTAGAGCTCACTGCAGCCTCAAACGCCTGGACTCAGGCGATCTTTCACCTCACCCTTCTGGAGTAGCAGGGACTACAGGCGTATGATACCATGCCAGGCTAATTTTTTTATTTTTGTAGAGATGGAGAGGGGTTCTCGCTATATTGCCTAGGCTGGTCTCGAACCCTTGACCTGAAGGGATCCCTCCTGCCTTGGTTCTCCGATTTGCTGGGATTATAGGTGTGAACCACCTCACCCAGCCCTTTTAGGATGTTTTGTTTTGGTTTTGTTTTGAGAGGGAGTGTCGCTCTGTCACCAGGCTGGAGTGCAGTGGTGTGATCTCTGCTCACTGCAACCTCCATCTCCTGGGTTCAGATTGTCCTGCCTCAGCCTCCCAAGTAGCTGGGACTACAGGCGCGTGCCACCACCCCAGCTCATTTTTTTTTCAGTAGAGACAGGGTTTCACTGTGGTAACCAGAATAGTCTCAATCTCCTAACCTCATGATCCACCCGCCTCGGCCTCCCAAAGGGCTGGGATTGCAGATGTGAGCCCAGCTGCATGTTTTTATTAAAGTTGTTTTAAATTAAAATTTTAGTCTGAATACAAAATTTAATGCATTATATGAAAATAAATTAACTGTTCTTTTGTTTGTTTGTTTGTTTGTTTGAGACAGTTTTCCTCTGTCGCCCAAGCTGGAGTGCAGTGGGCACAATCTCTGCTCACTGCAACCTCTGCCTCCTGGATTCAAGCAATTCTCCCACCTCAGCCTCCCAAGTAGCTGGGACTGCAGGCATGTGCCACCACACTTGGCTAATTTTTTTATTTTTTGGTAGTGACGGATGGGATTTCACCATGTTGGCCAGGCTGGTCTCCAAGTCCTGACCTCAAGTGGTCCACCCACCTCAACCTCCCAAAGTGCTGGGATTATAGGCATGAGCCACCACACCCAGCCGATATGAAAGTAAATTAACTGTGCGAACTAGTTTTTATGTGTCTACTACTATAGTATAAAATATTAATTAGGATAAATCTATTAACTAGATTTTTGGCCAGGCACAGTGGCTTATGCCTGTGATACCAGCACTTTGGGAGGCCAAGGCAGGCAGATCACCTGAGGTCAGGAGTTCAAGACCAGTCTGGCCAACATAGTGAAACCCTGTCTCTACTAAACATACAAAAATTAGCCAGATGTGGTGGCACACTCCTGTGGTCCTAGCTACTTGGGAAGCTGAAGTAGGAGAATCACTTGAATCCAGGTGGCAGGGGTTACAATGAGCTGAGATTGTGCCACTGCACTCCAGCCTGTGTGACAGAGCGAGACTCTGTCTCAAAAAATAAAATAAAATAAATAGATTTTAATCATTGCTATTACTTTGTTACTGGTGTGTGTCTTATTTTACAAAGTTGATAAATGAAAGTATTAAATTATCCAAATAATTTTGGAGTTACATCTATAATTTATTAGATTTATGTGTTGATTCAAAACATTCTGGGCCAGGCGTGGTGGCTTACGCATATAATCCCAGCCTGGACAACATGGTGAAGTCCCATCTCTACAAAAAATACAAAAACATTAGCCAGGCATGGTGGCATTCACCACTTGTTTCAGCTACTTGGGAGGCTGACGCAGGAGGATCATTTGAGCCCAGGAGGTTAAGGCTGTGGTGAGGCGTGATTGCCCCACCGTACTGCAGCCTAAGGGTGATAGTGAAACTCTTTCTCCAAAAAAATGTTTTTTAAATAAATTAAGTATTCTGGAGTATAAAATAGAACTTAAAAGTTACCTTGTTTCTAGCAACACCACAGCTTACTAACAAGAATCCCAAAATGAGCCGAAGTGTTGGATATTCATATCCCTCCTTACTGCCTGGTTATCAGAACACACCACCTGGTGCAACTGGAGTGCCATCCTCTTCTTTGAATTACTCAAGTGGGCCACAGGCCTTTATTCAGGTAAACTTTTTGGGATTTTCTTTAACCTATTTCTCCATTTGGTTTAAACTGTATACACATGAAGAAAGTTTTAGGAAGATATCTTACATATTTTTATAACCAATTAGAGTAATAATGGATATATCATAAAGCCTTTGTGTACACATTTTTCCAGAACCAAAAGATTGGCCAAGAGATCTAGATTACACTTATGTTATTTATAGATAAATTAACCACTTTTCTACACACTTAATAAAAGTTACTTACTTTGAAATTATATATCTGTAGACTCCCTTAGGTGCTAATCATTTAACCCCAAGCATGAGTGGATTAAGTCTACATCCAGAGGGTCTAAGAGTTGTCAATCTTCTTCAAGAAAGAAACATGCTTCCATCAACACCTTTGAAGCCTCCAGTTCCAAATTTGCATGAAGACATCCAGAAACTCAACTGTAATCCAGAGTAAGGCTTCAGATGTGACATTATTCATGTCCTAAAAATTTTCTTGCTTTTTGGGACAGCACGTCAGTTGTTATGAATAAGCTGTACAAATTATGAATTTATGAAAGAAGATCTGGGTACACAAGATAGAACTTTTACTTGTTTACTTAATAGACATTTGAAAAGTCCTATGTCAAGAAATTGGGATGTAACCCCTGAACTGATTTTGTTCTTATCAGCTCTAATGAGATTATGAAATTCATTATCATTATGGTGGTTACATTCTTTCTTCAAAGTACAGGGATTTTATTCTACATAATCCTTTATTTGCTGTCATTTAAAATTGATTTCATAACAAACATAATACTTTTTTTCTTCCTAAAAACTTACCATAAGCTTAAATGTGTGTGCTCAAGAATTTCTGATGAATTAAATTTGGTACCTTTAAATTGTATTTAGAATCTTCAGCAAAACTGAACTTTTTTTTCTTTTGAGACAGTGTTTTGCTCTTGTTGCCTAGGCTAGAGTGCAGTGGTACAATCTTGGCTCACTGCAACCTCTGCTTCCTGGGTTCAAGTGATTCTCCTGCCTCAGCCTCCCAAGTAGCTGGGACTACAGGCATGTGCCACCATGCCTGGCTAATTTTATATTTTTAGTAGAGATGGGGTTTCTCCATGTTAGTCAGGCTGGTCTCGAACTCCCAACCGCAGGTGATCTGCCTGCCTCAGCCTCCCAAAGTGCTGGGATTACAGGCTTGAGCCACTGTGCCTGTCCTGAACTTTTAAATAATAAACTTTGCAATTTGGACTGTCACCTAAATTTAATTTAATTCCAGTGTCACTTACATAACAAAAAATAAGTTTAGACTGTTTTGCGCACAAGCCAAGACGAGACTGTGTTTTAGTTATATAATGTAGGATAACCATCTACTCTATTTCTGCATAGGACTTAGACTTAAATATTTAAATGGGATAAAATTTCAGAGAATCTATTGATATTTCATCTGTAATCTGATCCAGTATTAAAATGTATACCTTTTAAATCTTTGAAGTTATTTTGTTCAAAAGTAATCATAGCTGCAACTTATACATACTTTTTACTTTGATATAGGTTATTTCGATGCACACTGACTAGCATTCCTCAGACTCAGGCCTTACTGAATAAAGCCAAACTTCCTTTGGGGCTGCTGCTTCATCCTTTCAAAGACTTAGTGGTATGTTTCCTTTCTTTTCTTTTCTGTTATTTTTTTGAGATGGAGTCTCCCTCTGTTGCCCAGGCTGGAGTGCAGTGGTGCAATCTCGGCTCACTGCAACCTCCACCCCACCCCTGAGTTCAAGCCATTTCCTGCCTGAGCCTCCCAAGTAGCTGGGATTACAGGGTTCTGCCACTTGGCCCAGCTAATATTTAGCAGAGATGGGGTTTCACCATCTTGGCCAGGCTGGTCTTGAACTTCTGACCTTGCTATCCTCCCACCTTAACCTCTCAAAGTGCTGAGATTACAGGTGTTAGCCACTGTGCCCAGCTTCTTTTCTTTCTTTTTTTTTTAAATCTGAGATGGGGTTTCTCTCTGTTTCCCAAGCTGGAGTACAATTGTGAGATCTCAGCTCACTGCAACCTCTGCCTCCCATGTTCAGGCGATTCACTCTCCTGAGCTTCCTGAGTAGCTGACATTACAGGCACCTGCCACCACACCCAGCTAATTTTTGTATTTTTTGTAGAGATGATGTTTCACCACATTGGCAGACTGGTCTCAAACTGACTCAGGTGATCTGCCTACCTCCCAAAGTGCTGGGATTTATAAGCATGAGCCCCTGCACCTAGCTTCTTTAGTGAAAGTAAATGTCTTTTGTGCAGAATTATCTTCATGGTGAAAATTTTCTGCAACGATGAAAGAATCACACATAGAATTTGTTTAATCTATCTTTAGGAAGTTGATGATTGACAGATTTCTTATAATTCAACCAAAAGTTTTATTACTAAACACTTTAAAAAACTAGGTAAAGGAAATACATTGCTGGAAAATTCAAAAAGTACTGAATAGAATAGAGGTACTGAGAGAAACTAGATAAATGAATCATACTATTTTAATAGGCTGTGAATTATTTACCCATTAAAGTACTTAACTCTAGTCTTCCCATTCTGTCATTGGTGGAGTAAAATTTGTTATCTTATAAAGTTGCACTGGGCCAGGCTCAGTGGCTTACACCTGTAATCCCAGCACTTTGGGAGGCCAAGGCAGGTGGATCACCTGAGGTCGAGAGTTCAAGACCAGCTGGACCAACATGAAGAAACCCTGTCTCTACTAAAAATATAAAAATTGTCTGGATGTGGTGGCACATGCCTGTAATCCCATCTACTTGGGAGGCTGAGGCAGGAGAATTGCTTGAACCTGGGAGACAGAGGTTGCGGTGAGCCAGGATCCTGCCATTGCACTCCAGCCTGGGCAACAAGAGTGAGACTCTGCCTCAAAAAAAAAAAAGTTGCTTTAAGCCACATGTGGTGGCTCATTGCCTGTAATCCCAGCACTTTGGGAGGGCAAAGTGAGAGAATTACTTCAGTCCAGGAGTTGAAGACCAGCCAATCCTGGCTACTTGGGAGGTTGAAGTGGGAGGATCACTTGAGCCTGGGAGGTTGAGGCTACAGTGAGACATGATTGTACCACTGCAGTCCCGCCTGGATGACAGAGTGAGACCCTGTATCAAAAAAGTTGTTTCAAAAGAAAAAAGCTGATCTACCTTTGTCCTAAAGCTCTGTGGCCATGTATTCTTGAGGATTGCTGACTTTCCCAAAAAACACTTTGCTTAATAGGATTTTTTTTTTTTTTTTTTTTGGTGGTGATGGGATTTTATTGCTTGTACTGTTTTTTTTTTTTTTTTAAGAAGCAGAGTCTTAACTATGTTGCTGAGGATTTATCTATTTTTTAAGAGATCCTTCTTTTAAAATAGATAAAGGCCAGGTGCGGTGGCTCACACCTGTAATCCCAGCACTTTGGGAGGCTGAGGCAGGCACCTCAGGTCAGGAGTTCAAGATCAGCCTGACCAACATGGTGAATCTCATCTCCACCAGAAATAGAAAATTTAGCCCAACGTGGTGACGCACACCTATAATCCCAGCAACTGGGAAGGCTGAGGCAAGAGTATTGCTTGAACCTAGGAGGCAGAGGTTGCAGTGAGCCAAGATCCCGCACTGTACTCCAGCCTGTGCAACAGAGTGGGACTAAAAAAAAGATGAATAAATAAAATCTTCTTTTAAAGATTAGATGGCATGTCATTGTTGTCCAAGGCACTGGCTCTCAGTCAAGTTGATCAATATAAGCAAAAACATTTCTTTCACCTGTCTCAGGGTTTCTGGTAAATCAAAACAAATCTCCCCAAATCTGATAATCTTACAAAGACCCTTCCCATGTATTTACTGCTATTTATTTATTTATTTTATTAGAGACCGAGTATCTCGTTGTCACCCAGGTTAGAGTGCAGTTCCATGATCATAGCTCACTGCAGCCTTGAACTCTTGGGCTCAAGCAGTCCTCCTGCCTCAGCCTCCAGACAGAGTAAGTGGAACTGTAGGCACTGACCACTATACCCAGCTAAGACTTTAGAACTTTTTTTTTTTTAAATAGAGGCAGGGTTTCACCATGTTGGCCAGGATGGTCTCGATCTCCTGACCTCGTGATCCACCCACCTTAGCCTCCCAAAGTGCTGGGATTACAGGCGTGAGCCACTGTGCCTGGCCCGCCTTTAGAACCTTTAATATGTGGGGTAAACTTTTTTTTAAAATATGGAGCACTTCATGAAATTGCATGTCATCCTTGAGCTGGGGCCTTGCTAATGTTCCCTGTATCATTCCAATTTTAGTATATGTGCTGCCAAAGTGAGCACTGGATAAACTTTAGCAGTGTAATTCCAAAGTTTAATTATTTAAATTAACCTCACCTTACTTTATTACAGTTGAAAACTAAGTAGGCCTCTTAATGTAACATCAACGAACTGTAATAATTTCATTGGTCGTGTATTTTAGAGTTGTTTTTTTTTTACTTCACCGTCCATGCCAAAGTACATTGTAAATTTACCAATTTGGTTTTATTTTTTAACTTTATTTATTTATTTCTTTTTGAGATGAAGTTTTATTCTTATTGCCCATGCTAGAGTGTGGTGGCACAATCTTGGCTCACTGCAACCTCTGCCTCCTGGGTTCAAGCAATTCTCCTGCCTCCGCCTCTCAAGTAGCTGGGATTACAGGTGCCACCATCACACCTGGCAAATTTTTTGTGTTTTTAGTAGAGACAGGGTTTCACTATGTTGGCCAGGCTGGTCTGGAACTCCTGACCTCAGGCGATCCATCTGCCTCAGCTTCCCAAAGTGCTGGGATTACAGGTGTGAGCCACCACACTTGGCCTATTTATTTATTTAAAAACATTTTTTTTTTTTTTTTTGGTAGAGATGGGCTTTTGCTCTGTTGCTTAGTTTGGTCTCGAGGTCCCATCCTCAAGTGATCCCCCTGCTTTGGCCTTTCAAAGTACTGGGATTTTTTTTTTTTGAGATGGAGTTTCTCTCTTGTTGCCTATGCAGGAGTGCAATGGGGTGATCTTGGCTTACCGCAACCTCTGCCTCCCAGGTTCAAGCAATTCTCCTGCCTCAGCATCCTGGGTAGCTGGGATTACAGGCATTACAGCCACCACACTTGGCTAATTTTGTATTTTTAGTAGAGACACAGTTTCTCCATGTTGGTCAGGCTAGTCTCAAACTCCCAACCTCAGGTGATCTGCTCACCTCGGCCTCTCAAGTCCTGGGATGACAAGCGTGAACCACTGTGCCCGGCCTGGGAGATTTTTATTTTTAAAATAGAGACGGGGTCTTACTTTCCTGCCCGCGTTGGTCTCATACTCTTGACCTCAGGTGATGCACTCGCGTTGGCCTCTTAAAGTGCTGGGATTTTAGACATAGATGTTGGCCACTGTGCCTGGCCTACTATTTTGGTTTTGCAATGTGAATGTTTAATGAGAGAATACATTCTTGTTAAATTTTTGTTTTATTTTATTTTTTGAGACTGGGTCTTGCTCTGTTGCCCATGCTAGAGTGCAGGGGCTCAATCATGGCTCACTGCAGCCCTGACCTTCCAGGCTCAAATGATCCTCCCACCTCAACCCAAGTCACCACACTAGGCTAATTTTTAAAATATTTTGAGAGGGTCAGGTTTCACTGTGTTGCCCAGGCTAGGCTCAAACTCCTGGCTTCAAGCCATCCATCTGCCTTGGCCTCCCAAAGTGCTGGAATTATGTGTGAGCCACTGTGCCCAGCCAATACTTTTTTTTAAAAGGCAAATTTTAGGGCCAGGCACAGTGGCTCACGCCTGTAATCCCAGCACTTTAGGAGGCCGAGGCAGGTGGATCACGAGGTCAAGAGATCGAGACCATCCTGGTCAACAAGGTGAAACCCCGTCTCTACTAAAAATACAAAAATTAGCTGGGCATGGTGGCACGCGCCTGCAGTCACAGCTACTCGGGAGGCTGAGATAGGAGAATTGCTTGAACTCAGGAGGCGGAGGTTGTGGTGAGCTGAGATTGCACCATTGCACTCCAGCCTGGGTAACAAGAGCGAAACTCCATCTCAAAAAACAAACAAACAAAAAAAGGCAAATTTTAATAAGAATGGTCCTGGAGCAAAGCAGTAGGGTTTAAAATGAATACATTTTAGCTACATGATTTTTGTGTGTGGCAGTTTAGGTACATCTTGTACTCTAGGTTTTCTTGAAAATGATAATATCCTAACAGTTATTTAGACAGGATGGATTAATGGTCACATTTTCAACATGATGATTATTCCTTTTCAAAGATAATTCTGTTTTTTTCAGCAGTTGCCTGTGGTTACCTCCAGTACAATTGTGAGATGCCGTTCATGCAGGACGTACATCAATCCTTTTGTCAGCTTTCTTGATCAAAGGAGATGGAAGTGTAACTTATGTTATCGAGTAAATGATGGTATGGCATGCTTTTTTGAAACATTTAAACATTTCTACTTCCTTTTTTTTTTTTTTGAGATGGAGTCTCGTTCTGTAGCTCAGGCTGGAGTGCAAGTGGCGTGATCTTGGCTAGGCTTCTACAACCTCTGCCTCCTGGGTCCCAGTTCAAGCAATTCTCCTACCACAGCCTCCCAAGCATCTGTGATTACAGCACAAGCCAGCATGCCCAGCTAATTTTTGTATTTTTTAGTAGAGACGGGGTTTCACCATGTAGGCCAATCTGATTTTGAACTCCTGATCTCATGATCCGCCCGCCTCGTGAGCCACTGCACCCAGCCAAACATTTCTACTTTCGTTGTAGGGAAATCAGATAATACAAAACACAGTTTAAAAAAAAAAGAAACCCCTTTTCTTTACCTGTAATCAATCCTTCCACTCAGAGAAAACTACTGTTAACTTTTTTCTATGCATTTATATTTATAAATAAATTATTTTTAAGCAAAAAATTATAATAGAATAAAAAAGGATATCCCTCTTTTACATTGTATTGGGCATATAATGAATGGTATATTTTGTGGTATTACTTAAGCCAGTAATTTAAGAAACATTTTTATTTAGAAATTGTCCCATGCCTTTTCTCTAGGGTGAAAAGAAGTAAGTTCACAGTAACTGCCCAATTCATTCACTGCTGAATAAAGGGAGGTGGGCAGTACTAGAAGGTTAGTTAAAATGTGCTTTTCTCAGTGATTGAGGAGGAGGTTTCTCTTAGTAACTATGTCACAGTTTTTCTGTTGGGATTAGAGAAGGAAATGAGTATGCCAGTATCCACAGTGTCTGTTTGAAAGATTTGGGAAATAGAGGAATATAAAAGAGTTTTGTTTTTGTTTTTGTTTTGAGATGGAGAGTCTCACTCTGTCACCGAAGCTGGAGTGCAGTGGCATGATCGTGGCTCACTACAGCCTCTGCTTCCCAGGTTCAAGCCATTCTCTTGCCTCAGCTTCCCGAGTAGCTGAGATTACAGGTGCCTGCCACCATGCCTGGCTAATTTTTATATTTTTAGTAGAGGTGGAGTTTTGCCATGTTGGCCAGGCTGGTGTAGAACTCCTGACCTCTAGTGATCCTCCTGACTCAGCCTCCCAAAGTGCTGGGATTATAGGCATGAGCCACTTTACCCGGCCAAGAGTTTTTTTTTTTTTTAAAGAGACAGTGTCTTGCTATGTTGCCCAGGCTAGGGTGCAGTGGCTATTCATATGTGCGATCCCACTACTTATCAGCCAAGAGTTTTTTAAGAGTTTTATTGTTTGTATGTGTTTTCTTTTGAGTATAGAAAAGTAAGAAAAGGTTAAGAACTTACTTTTGCACTATAATAATTCATAAAATGTAGTATTTAGTATACCTTTAAAATCTCTATGGTTTTGTGCTTTAATATACAAAATGAAATTGTAATAAAAGTTGAAGCTTCTTTCATATGCAAACCAGGCTATTTCATGAACTATAGCTTACCCTTTACAGTGCATAGGGATTTGTATTTCTGAACAATTAACAGGAAGACAGATACAATGATAATTAATTTAGAAAATATTCTTTGACCACTAATGTATTATAAGTGGTAGGTAACTGATATTCCATAAAGGTCTCATTAATTAATGAAACTCACTAAACCTTATGACCTTGACCTCTGAAATTGTCTTACCATAGCTTCTAGTGCCAGCCAGAGTCTATATATTTCATATGTCAAAGGTTAATATTCTTGTATAATTGTGAAATTTAAGAAAATAGGCCAGGCGCAGTGGCTCACATCTGTAATCCCAGCTCTTTGGGAGGCCAAGCCAGAGGTCACGAGTTTGAGACCAGCCTGACCAACATGAAGAAACCCCGTCTCTATTAAAAAATTAGCAAGCCTGGTGGCGTATGCCTTAATCCTAGCTACTTGGGAGGCTGAGGCAGGAGAATCACTTGAAGCCGGGAGACGGAGGTTGCAGTGAGCCAAGATTGCACCACTGCGCTCTTGCCTGGGCAACAGAGTGAAACTCTGTCTCAAAAAAAAGAAAAGAATTGGCATTTAATGAGTTTTTATCACCTTTTCAAGCAAGAAAGTGGCCAAATCCAAGGTATATTATATTAATCCTTTCAGTTTTTTCAATATTTGTATTGTTATAGTTCCTGAAGAGTTCTTGTACAACCCTTTGACCAGAGTTTATGGAGAACCTCACAGAAGACCTGAAGTTCAAAATGCTACCATTGAGTTTATGGCTCCTTCAGAATACATGGTAAACTTTAATTTTTTAATACAGTATACCCAGTTTTTATTACCAGGTTTTAAGTAAAACAATATGGCATCCTTTAACAAAATTTTATTTAAAAATTTTTTTTTGAGACACAGTCTCACTCCCATTGCCCATGCTGGAGTGCAGTGGCATGATCATGGCTCACTGCAGCCTCAACCTCCCACACTCAAGTGATCTCACACCTCAGCCTCCTGAGTAGCTGGGGCTATAGGCACGTACTCCCACACCTGGCTTATTTTTAGTGGAGACAGGGTTTTGCTATGTTGCCCAGACTGGTCTCAAACTCCTGGGCTCGAGTGATCTGCCCATCTTGGCCTCCCAAAGTGCTGGGATTACAAGCGTGAACCACTGTGCTCAGCAAAAATTTTATGTTTTTAAATATATAAAAGTGTAATATTTGTTTACTAGTAATTAGTATGTAAGGGTATATTTGAAAGGTAAAGGTTTATGTAAAGTCCCATTTAAGTGTCTTGTGAGACATCCAGAAATTTCCAAAATAATATTGGGCTCATAATTACTTTTTTTTTTTTAAATGACAGAGTCTCACTTTGTCTCCCAGTCTAGAGTGTAGTGGTGCAATCTTGGCTCACTGCACCTCCACCTCCCGGGTTCAAGCGATTTTCTTGCCTCTGCCTCCCAAGTAGCTGGGATTACAGGCACGAACCACCACACCCGGCTAATTTTTGTGTTTTTAGTAGAGATGGGGTTTAAACATGTTGGTCAGGCTGGTCTCAAACTCCTGACCTTGTGATCTGCCCGCCTCAGCCAACCAAAGTGCTTGGATTACAGGCAGGAGCTACAGCACCTGGCCAAAATAAGAACACTAAGATAAGGCCAGCCGTGGTGGTGACACCGTGGTTGCTCTGGTGACAGCGCAAGATCTCCATCTCACTTTGGGAGGCTGAAGCAGGTGGATCACGAGGTCAGGATCATACCTGTAATCCCAGCTATTGAGGAGGCTGAGGCAGGAGAATCGTTTGACCTGGTAGGTGGAGTTGCAGCAAGCTGAGATTGTGCCACTGCACTCCAGCCTGGGCAACAGAGCTAGACTCTGTCTCAAAAAAAAAAAAAAAAAAAAGGAAAAAGAAAAGAAAACATTTTGTTGCCCTTAAGTGGACTTAACTGATTGGTAATAGCCATCTGCAGAGTACCTGTTTGTTTTTTGTTTTTTGGTTTTTTTTTAGATGGGGTTTCACCATGATGGCCAGGCTGGTCTTGAACTCCTGACCTCAGGTGATCCACCCACCTTGGCCTCCCAAAGTGCTAAGATTACAGGCATGAGCCACTGCACCCAGCCGAGTACCTGTTTTTTAATTGGATTCAAACCAAAAAAAACAGAAGCACATATTCTTTTGAATTTACCTGTCTAGTTTCCCTTTATCGCCCATGTTTTGCAAAAATCGCTTCCTTAAATTTAGAAACTATTGGCAGAAGGTTTTTGCTCCTTTCTGGCTTATCTCTTGACGGGCAGGTTATGTAAATTTGGTAAGTGATACATGCAAAAATATATAAAAATACAGTTGACTCTGTATCCACGGGTTCTGCATCCATGGATTCAACTACCCATGGATCGAAAATGTTCAGAAAATCACAGTAAAAAATATTATAGGATAGATGCAGTGGCTCACACCTATAATCCCTGCAGTTTGGGAAGCCAAGGCAGGAGGATTGTTTGAAGCCAACAGTTTGAAACCAGCCTGGGCAACATGTGAGACCCCATCTCTATAAAGATTTTAGGAATGGTGGTGTGTGCTTACAGTCCCAGGTACTTGGGAGGCTGAGGTGGAAGAATCGTTTGAGTCCAGGAGTTCAAGGCTGCATGCAGTAAGCTATGATTGCATCACTGTACTCGAGCCTGGGTGACAAAGTGAGACCTTTTCTTTAAAAAAAAAAAAAAAACTTTAATATACTGTATAGCAACTATTTATATAGCATTTATGTTGTATTAGGTATTATTGTCAAAACCTAGAGATGATTTAAGGTATACAGAAGGATGTGTATAGGTTATATGCAAATATAACCTATGTGTAAGGGAATTGAGCATCCTTAGATTTTGGTATTTGAGGTGGGAGATCATAGAACTAATCTCTTGCAGATACCAAGGGAGGACTGTATACTACATACTCAGTTCCGATTGTGGCTATTTGATGCTTTTTATTGAACTGAAAATAAATTTTTGGATTTGGAAATTTGAAATACAGTCTTGGCCGGACACGGTGGCTCACGCCTATAATCCTAGCACTTTGGGAGGCTGAGGTGGGTAGATCACCTGAGGTCAGGAGTTCAAGACTAGCCTGGCCAACATGGTGAAACTCTGTCACTACTAAAAATACAAAAATTAGCCAGGCGTGATGGTGGGCACCTGTAATCCTCGCTTTGTCACCCAGGCTGGAGTGCAGTGGCATGATCTCGGATCACCATAACCTCTGCCTCCCTGGTTCAAGCGATTCTCCTGCCTCAGCCTCCCAAGCAGCTGGAACCACAGGCACCCACCACCACGCCCGGCTACTTCTTGTGTTTTTAGTAGAGACGAGGTTTTGCCATGTTGGTCAGGCTGATCTCAAACTTCTGACCTCAGGTGAGCCACCCACCTCTGCCTCCCAAAGTGCTGGGATTATAGGCATGAGCCACCACACCCGGCCTGAAGCCCTTCTGATCACATCTCTTCCCTCTCTTGTCCTAGAGAAAACATTCTTCTGAATTATGGCAGTCACAGACTCATTTTTCTTATATGTATATATCTGTAAACAATATAGTATAGCTTTGCTTTTTTATTATAATCTATACTCAATTTGTAAATTATACTTTTTAAATTGTTTTGCTGTATGTGTACCCAGCAAATAAATTTAAACTTAATCCTGTTAAATGTACTTAACAAGATCTTTTTTTTCTTCAGTTACGACCACCTCAACCTCCAGTGTATCTCTTTGTATTTGATGTATCTCACAATGCAGTCGAAACTGGATACTTGAATTCAGTTTGCCAGAGTTTGTTAGACAATCTGGATGTGTAAGTTTCTCATTCAACTTAAATTTGAAACTAGTAATATTTTCTAAATGAATAAGTAGTTTTTGAAATCCAAAAGAAAAGAAAGCTATATAATTATTTTCTAAAACTTCACCTAAATCAGTTGTCAATTTAGGCCTCACTTCCTCTTCGAAACATTATTTTTAAACCTATAGTTGGTAGGAAGAATAATATAATGAACCTCCGGGCACCTATTGTCACCCAGCTTCATCATCTTCAGCATTGTACTGTTCTTGCTCCATCTAATCCTTCCCCTTCACACACATACCTTTTCTTACCTTGAGTATTTTAAAGCAAATTTCAGACAGCATACTGTTTTACCTGTACATATTTCAAGAGTAACTTTTATACCTAATTGTAATACTAAAGCATCAAGAAAATTAGCAGTAATTCCATATATGATCTAATACCCAGTTTATTTTTTGTTCCTCGTCTCAAAAATGTCTTTTTACTGTCAGTTTGTTGGAGTAACAATTTAAACAGCATACATACATTGCATTTGGTTATCAAGTGTCTTAAGTCTCTTAAAATATCTGTTTCCAGTGGTGCTTAGACACCTAGTGTAACCCATAAAAGCAAATGTAACCTTTCTATGTCATGAAGTATAGTGCTTGTATGTGGTATGGAGGAATATAGAAGACCAAATCTCATCACAAGTGGAGTAACTCCCTCCCTTTGGTGAAAAGCTCATTCTTGTTCCTGCCAGCATTTGTATTTTTAATGCTGTAGATTGTGAATGGGGATTGTGAATTGATGAGATTCTCACTGACTCAGCCATGCATGAACAAGAGTGAAAATTTGTTTTTCCCCTTATATAGCTGTAGTTCCACATATTTGTAGTTCTTTAAAATAGATGCTTTGCTCTTCTTTGTTCTTAAATATTAGTTTGTGTATCACAATATTTTGAAGCATGGTTTTTTTTTTTTTTGAAGCATGGTTTATAACTTAAAATCATCTGGAAAATTTCATACTTTTCAGTATTTTTAGCGTACTGTTTCCTAAGTGATTATATGTAACTTGATAGCTATACTTGGTTTTGGATTTCTGTATTATTGCCGGGGGTTTTTTTATTGTTTGGTTTATGTATAGTGTTTTCCCTTATAGTCACATATGTTTTCATGGTAAACATTGGGTGGTTTAAACAATTGTTTGTGTTGGGCCAATTTCCATAATACTGAATGAGATATTTGCATGTAATTCTTAGGACACATTTTTTGTATATTTGTATATAGTTAAAACTTGGTAAAATACTCTTACGAATTTGTTTTTAGGCTTCCTGGCAACACTAGAACAAAAATTGGCTTCATAACATTTGACAGTACAATCCATTTCTACAGTCTTCAAGAAGGTCTCTCTCAACCTCAGATGCTAATAGTTTCAGATATTGAAGGTATAGATTTATAACTATTTTCATAATTTCCAATTTTAGAAACATTTCTTGATTACTTGACATTGGATGTGTATTGTTTGTACTATATCAGGGAAAATCTTGAGTATAAAATCATGATTGTTGAAGTTGTAAGAATCTTTCAGTTCAATCTCTTATTTCTTGGAAGAGGAAACGGGTTATGGAGACAACATGAATTCTGTACAAGGCAACAAAAACAAGTTAATGTTAGAACTCAGATCAAATTTAGGCCTTTTTCCCACTTCTTTCCATTCATTCAAAAAGTATTTGAGGATAGACATAGAGCAAAGAAATAGAATTGAGAGCTCAGAATAAAGCCATTGCACATATAGGCAATTGTGGTTTTTTTTTTTTTTTGAGATGGAGGGTTACTCTGTCACCGAGGCTGGAGTGGAGTGGTGTGATCTCAGCTCACTGCAGCCTCTGCCTCTTGGGTTCAGGCAATACTCCTGCCTCAGCCTCCTGAGTACTTGGCACGAGAGGCATGAACCACCATACCCAGCTAATTTTTGTATTTTTAGTAGAGACGAGGGTTCACCATGTTGGCCAGGCTAGTCTCGAACTCCTGACCTCAAGTGATTTGCCTCTCTCGGCCCCCCAAAATGCTGGGATTATAGGCATGAGCCAACAGGCCCAGCCAGTCAATTGATTTTTGACAAAGGTGCCTAGACCAATCAGGGGGAGAAGAGACAGTTTTCTGAACAAATAGTTGTAGCAATACTGCCTATGTAAAAGAATGAGGTTGGACCTTTACCACCTTATACCATGTAAAGAAAATTAACTTGACATGGACTAAAGACCTATACTTAAGAGCTGAAAGTAGAAAACAGGGGCAAATATTTATGCCCCTGGATGTGGAAACATCCCTGGTGCATTGCTGGTCATAATATAAAATGGTATAGCTGCTGTGGAAAATTCCTTAGCAGTTCTTCAGAGTTAAAGGTGAATTACCACATAATGTAGCAATTCCACTGTTCAATATATACTCCAAAAAATTGAAAGAAGTGACTCAAGGAGATCCTTGTACGTTACTGTTTATAGCAATAGCAATTATTTACAATAGCTAGAAGGTGGAAACACCCCAAGTAGCCATCAACAGATGAATAAACAAAATGTGGTATAAACACATAATGGGATATCATTCAGCCTTTATAAAACAATGAAATTGTAATCCCAGCACTTTGGGAGGCCGAGGCAGGCGGATACTGAGGTCAAGAGATAGAGACCATCCTGGCTAACACAAGACCAGCCTGGCCAACATAGTGAGGGGTTGCACCGTTTTGGTCAGGATGGTCTCGATCTCTTGATTTCAGTATCTGCCTGCCTTGGCCTCCCAAACTGCTGGGATTACAGGCATGAGCCACTGTGCCCAGCCTACAGTCCCATTCTTAAAGACACTGGTGTGGGCCTTCTTTATGAGAAAGCTTCTGCTTTTTGAATGACAGCTATTGGTGAGCTGTATTGCTTCCTTATAAAGACAGCATTCTTGTGTGTCATGTTAGTCAAAAAAATTTTTCTTAATGCCAAGAGTATATCTTTGGCTGGCTTCCAGGACCAACCATTTAAAAAAAAAAAAAGTCAAAGTAGGATTGTAAAATATTACCTTTAGCCTAAGAAGCAGAGCAGTTATGCAAACCCTTACTCAGTGAGTACAGATCAATATTTTCTTTCTTTTTTTTTTCTTTTTGGAGACAGGGTCTCATCCTCCTGCCTAGCCTGGGAGTGCAGTGGTGCAATCTTGGCTCACTGCAGCCTTAACCTCCTAGGCAAGCAGTCCACCCACGTAGCTGGGACTACAGGCGTGTTACCACCATGCTTGGTTCATTTTTGTATTTTTTGTAGAGACAGGGTTTTACCATGTTCCCCAGGCTGGTCTGAAACTCCTGAGTCAAGTTATCCACTCACTTAGGCCTCTGAAAGTGCTGGGATTACAGGTGTGTACCACTGCACCTGGCCCAAATAAATATTTTGTAATTGGGAGTCTATACCTTTTACAAGGTAGCAGACAAGAAGCAGAAAATTTTGCAGTAGATACCTGAATCAGTGTGGTTTTTTGGTGTTTCTTTGGACATAGGTAAACCGTGCTGTAATAGTGGATGAAGTGGCTTATCTTTAACGAAGTGGGTGGTTAATCACATTTGTGTCATATATTTGGAACACCTTTAATGTTATATTTTGTTTAAAATAAATGTGTTTTTTTTCTTTCAGATGTTTTTATACCTATGCCAGACAACTTATTAGTAAACTTAAATGAAAGTAAAGAGGTAAGGCACATTTTTCTACCTGACATGTTTAATCGAAATATTGAAGGAATATGTTTTTGAAATGAACTTGAAGTAAAATTTTGGTTCTTTCTGTGACATTTCTAAAATGTGTAGCATTTTATATTTGCTCATAGTTAAAATTAACAAGATGAACAGCTCTTGAGTTCAATCCTGAGCTGATCATTTTTAAGTCTAATGAAGCAAGTTATTTGTAATAGGGTAGAAAATAAGCATATTACATATAGGAGGAACACCTGAAGGAAATCTGTCTTGCCAGCCATTTGGGAAGTTGGGAGGGTTGCTGAAATAAAGCTTCTGGTCACTACATAGAAGCGCATTAGGTAGGCTGCTTTCAGTGCCCTTTGCTTTTCTGATTCACAGAGTGTCATTGGGGTCAGTTCAGAAGAAACTCTTATTACCTGCCTGGAAATTGCCATGAGATAATACAGTGAGAGGTGAACAGAATGTGTCTGAAGGGGGGATGTTGTGTACCCTGTACATGCATATATGCCGTAGGGATAACATTTTAACTAGCAAGTCTGTGGTCTCTGCTGTTGGCAATGGTGACTGTGCCATAGTGCGAAGTATTTTTTTTTCCCCATTAACTCTATTTGTACAACCTAACCTGTAAAGGTAGTTGTTTTTCTTTTTTAGTGATATTACTAGTTGGCAAAGTTACTGGATATCATAGATTTGCAACAGGGAAGAGCTAAGCTCACTGTGGAACTTAAAAGAATAAAGTATGTAGAGGTGATGGAGAAGGCCATTTTTCATGGCATTAAAATATATCAATTCTTTGAACTGTGATGGTTCTTTTGGATACATTTTGGACTTATAGTCTTGCTGGACTATTGCATGTGCAAGAACTGTAAGGCCCCAACTTTGATTTGTCTTGCCTGCCAATTTATAATGTTGACTTAAAATGGCTTTCTTGTCATTTGACCAATTTCATTGTTTAGTGTCTGTAGATTCTCTGATCATCATCAATGTCTTGTCTATTGTATTAGATACTGACTAAATGTGAAAAAAAAAATTGTGACATTCTTGAGTTTTCTTGCTTTATTTTACAAGCTTGTGCAAGATTTACTGAAAACATTGCCACAAATGTTTACCAAGACTCTGGAGACCCAGAGTGCCTTGGGTCCTGCACTTCAAGCTGCCTTTAAGCTGATGTCTCCAACTGGTGGTCGAATGTCTGTTTTTCAAACACAACTCCCAACTCTTGGAGTGGGAGCCCTGAAACCACGAGAGGAGCCTAACCACAGGTCATCTGCTAAGGTTAGAGAGCCATGAAATGTCTGAGATTTATGCTGCGGTGCCATCCCTGTGACCACAGAACCGGTTTCTTTAAATTTATTTCTCAATTGTTGGGAGGATGGACTATAAGGAAATTGGTAAAGGGTTTAACTTTTATGTAGACATTTTTATTTTATTACATTTTTTTCTGCCTGATTTACCCTTCTTTAATTTGCAATATCTTTAGTAGATCAGTAGCAGTTCATCCTGCCTTTAGTGAGACAGCCTGGGAGACTAACAGAATATGCTTGATAAGGACAAAGAGAACCTGACTGACCAGTTAAGAATAGTCTTATGGCCAGGTGTGGTGGTTCACTCCTGTAATCCCAGTGCTGTGGGAGACTGAGGCGGGTGGATCACGAGGTCAGGAGTTCGAGACCAGCCTGGCCAACGTGGTTAAACCCCGGCTCTACTAAAAATAAAAAATTAGTTGGGCCTGGTGGCAGGTGCCTATAATGCCAGCTACTTGGGAGGCTGAGGCAGGAGAATTGCTTGAACCCGGGAGGTGGAGGTTGCAATAAGCTGAGAATGTGCTACAGCACTCTACCCTAGGCAACAGAGCAAGACTCCCATCTCATAAAGAAAGAAAGAAATAAAGAAAGAAGAATAGTTTTATTTGGCCGGGTGCAGTGGCTCATGCCTATAATCCCAACACATTGGGAGGCCAAGGCAGGCAGATCACCTGAGGTCGGGAGTTCGAGACCAACCTGATCAACATGGAGAAACCCTGTCTCTACTAAAAATACCAAAGTAGCCAGGCATGGTGCTGCATGCCTGTAATCCTAGCTACTCAGGAGACTGAGGCAGGAGAATCGCTTGAACCCAGGAGGCAGAGGTTGCAGTGAGCCGAGATCACACCGTTGCACTTCAGCCTGGGCAACAAGAGCGAAACTCCATCTGACACACACAGAAAAAAGAAAAAGAATAGTCTTATTTGGTACATTGATGGTGAAGGTGCTTATGTGTACCTTGTGTGTATAAACTTAAAAGTTTTTGAGGCCAGGCTCGGTGACTTAACACCTGTAATACCAGCACTTTGTGAGACCAAGGCAGGCCGCTCATGAGGTCGGGAGATCGAGACCATCCTGGCCAACGTGGTGAAACCCTGTCTCTACTAAAATACAAAATATTAACCAGGTGTGGTGGTGTGTGCCTGTAGTCTCAGATGCTTGGGAGGCTGAGGCAAGGGAATTGCTTGAACTTGGGAGGAGATTGCATTGAGCCGAGATTGCACCACTGTACTCCAGCCTGAGAACAGAGTGAGACGCCGTCTCAAAATAAAAGTTTTTCCCAAAAGATTATGAAAGAGACACCTGTGTACTACTGGGTATGATATCATTCCTGGAGTCACACTGCCTATTTGCCAGTTTATTATACATGGGAACTTGGAATATTACTTAATTTCTTTGCCCCTTTGTTTCTTATATAAGGTGAAAGTAAAGGGTCCGGTGTGGTAGCTTATGCCTATAATTTTTTGGGAGATTGAAGTGGAAGGATTGATTGAGCTCAGGAGTTTGAGGCAAACTTGGGAAATATAGTGAGACCCTGAGCCTACAAAAATACAAAAAAATTAGCCAGGTGTGATGCTGAGAGCCTATAGTCCTAGCTTCTCTGGAGGCTGTGGTGGGAGGATCACTTGCGCCCAGGAGATAGCAGTGAGTTCATGCCACTACACTCCAACTTGGGCAACAAGAACAACAAAAAGATGGCTGGGTGTAGTGGCTCATGCCTATAAGACCAGCACTTTGGGAGGCCGAGGCGGGCAGATGACCTGAGGTCTGGAGTTCCAGGCCAGCCTGGCCCACAAGATGAAACCCTGTCTCTATTAAAAATACAAAAATTAGCCAGGTGCAGTGGCTCACACCTATAATCTGTGGGAGGCTGAGGCGGGCCGATTACAAGGTCAGGAGTTTGAGACCAGCCTGACCAACATGGTGAAACCCTGTCTCTACTAAAAATACAAAAATTAGCCGGGTGTGGTGGCACACACCTGTAATACCAGCTAATCAGGAGACTGAGGCAGGAGAATCACTTGAACCCGGGAGGTGGAGGTTGCAGTGAGCCAAGATCACGGTACTGTACTCTAGCCTGGGCAACAAGAGCAAAACTCCATCTCAAAAAAAAAGAAAAAAAAAAAATTAGGCAGGTGTGGTGGTGTGTGCCTGTAGTCCCAGTTACTTGGGAGGCTGAGGCATGAGAATTGCTTGAATGTGGGAGTAGGAGGTTGCAGTGAGCTGAGATTACATCACTGCACTCCAGCCTGGGTGACAGAGTAAGACTCTGTCTCAAAAAAAAAAAAAAGAAAGAAAATAATGATAGCACTTACCTCTTAGGGTATTTGAAAGGGCTAAATAAGTATTACGTATGAATTGTTTAGAACAGTTGCCAGCATACTGAACATTGAGTGGATTTTAGTTACAATAAAGTCTTTGCCAATTATGAAATTATTATAGTAGATGTATTTCTTTTTAAAAGTAAAGCAAGAAAACTTACAAAATCTTTTTATGTATATTTATATTTTTTAATAAATAAAAATTTATATATTTTTTAAATAAATAGAGCCATGTTACCCAGGATGGTCAAAAACTCCTGGGCTCAAGCAGTCCACCCACCTCAGCTTCCCAAAGTGCTAGGATTACAGGTGTGAGCCACTATGCCTGGCCAGAACTTACAGAAAATTCCTAAGCAGTACTTCCTTCTTAATGAAAAATCAAATAGTACCACAAAGGAAAAGGACTTTGTAGAATGCCCAGAAATAACTGCAATTGTTGTTAACATCATGATATATGTAGATGTGTATTTAGATTTTATGACAATGTAATGATTTTTTTAAATGTCTCTTTGTAATTTATTATAAATAGGATATACACCTGACACCATCCACTGACTTCTATAAGAAATTAGCCTTGGACTGTTCTGGTCAGCAAGTAGCTGTTGACTTATTCCTTCTCAGTGGACAGTATTCTGATTTGGCTTCTCTGGGTAAGTTCTTCCTAATGATTTTTTTTCTGTTAAATGAATATCAAAATTGTACTTATATGATAGTGTTCTGAATACAGGACAAAGTTAAATAATTTTTATGCCTTTGGGAGAGTTAATCAGTCAGTTTAGTCTGTTAAAAACCTTATAGTCTTCTAGTCTAAACATTTAATAATAGAGAAATTTCCATACTACTATTTTAAAGGAATGCAGGCTGGGTATGATGGCTCATGCCTGTAATCCTAACAATTTGTGAGGCCTATGCAGGAGCATTACTTGAGGCCAGGAGTTTGAGACCAATCTGGTCAATATAGGAAGACCCTATATTTACAAACAATTTTTTTTTTTTAAATAAAAAACTAGCCAATCATGGTGGCACACACCTGTGGTCCTAGCTACTCGGAAGGCTGAGGTGGGAAGAGTGTTTGAGCTGGGAGGTCAAGGCTGCAGTGAGCTATGATATCACTACTGCTCTCCAGCCTGGGTGACAGAATGAGACTCTGTCTCATAAAAATGAAATGAAATATCCTTCCTGACAGTAGTTTACCTTGGAAAGTTAAAGAAAGATTGATTCCAATGTCTGCAGTTACTTTGGTGTAGTAGAAGTAGTTAATGGCACAGTTTAAAGCAGTATGTTTTCTCTTCCAGGTTGTATTTCTCGGTATTCAGCAGGTAGTGTTTATTACTATCCCTCTTACCATTATCGACACAACCCAGTCCAAGTACAGAAATTACAGAAAGAACTACAGAGATACCTTACTCGGAAGATTGGCTTTGAAGCAGTCATGAGGATTCGGTGCACCAAAGGTAGGAATACGTATTTTTTTAATAGGAGTGAATAATATTTTTTGTGCCAGTAAATACATGTGTTTTTATATAGTCTGATAAGATCTGCCCTTCCAAGATACTTCACTGACTGTGGAATGTGCAATTAAGAAGAGAGAAGAAATACTGCAACCAAAAACGGGGGGTGCCTATTGAGAATATACTCAAAAGCACTGTCTTGTATATTTTTAAATGGAGAATTTTATGGTGTGTGAATTATTTCAATTTTTTAAAAAGTCCTTATTTCTAGCTGGGCATAGTCACTCATGCCTGTAATTCCAGAACTTTGGTTGTAATTCCATAACTTTGGTGGATCGCTTGAGCCCAGGAATTAGAGACCAGCCCAGACAACATTGCGAAGCAATATCTCTACAAAAAATACAAAAATTTAGCTTAGCATGGTGGTGCACATCTGTAGTCCCAGTTTTTTAGAAGGCTGAAGTGGGAGGATTGCTAGGGCCTGGGAAGCAGAGGTTGCAGTGAGCAGAGATCACATCACTGCACTCCAGCCTGGGCAACAGTGAGACCTTGTTTTTTAAAAAAAATAGACTCAGTGGCTCGCATCTGTAACTCCAGCCCTTTGGGAGGCCAAGGGGGACAAATCACGAGGTCAGGAGTTTGAGACAAGCCCAGCCAACATGGTGAAACCCCATCTCTATTAAAAATACAAAAATTAGCTGGGTGTGGTGGCACGTGCCTGTAATCCCAGCTACTCAGGGGACTGAGGCAGGAGAATCGCTTAAACCTGGGAGGTGGAGGTTGCAGTGAGCCGAGATCACACCACTGCACTCCAGCCTGGAGTGAAACTCCATCTCAAAAAAAAAGAGTCTATTTTGTATATTTAGTAGAGTAATATATTTGTATTTTTAGTAAAGGCAGTGTTTCACCATGTTGGCCAGGCTGGTTTTGAACTCCTGACCTCAGATGGTCTGCCTAAGCCTCCCAAAGTGCTGGGATTACAGACATGAGCCACTGTGCTTGACCGAGTCTTTTTTTTTTTTTTTTTTTTGAGAGTCTCATTTCATTGCCCAGGCTGGAGTGCAGTAGTGTGATCACAGTTCACTGCAGTCTCCACCTCCATGACTCAATTGATCCTCCCACCTCAGCTTCCCTAGTAGCTGGGGCTACAGGTGTGAGCCACCATGCCTGGCTAATTTTTAATTTTCTTTGTAGAGACTGGGTCCATTGCTGCTGCACAAATTGAGTTTTTATTTAAATAAATATAATTGCTCTGTAAGGGGGTGTAGAGCAGTAATGTCCTTTCTTCTTCTCTTTTTTTCTGGAGACAGAGTGTTGCTCTGTTCCCCTGGCTGGAGTGCAGTGGCATGATCATAGCTCACTGCAGCCTCAATTCCTGGGCTCAAGCGATCCTCTCACCTCAGCCTCCCAAGTAACCAGGACCACAGGTGCATGCCACCATGCCCAGCTAATTTTTAATTTTTTGTAGAGGTGGAGGTTTTACACTGTTTCCCAGGCTAGTTTCAAACTCCTGGACTTGAGCGATCCTACCATCTCAGCTTCCCAAAGTGCTGGGATTACAAGTGTGAATTACCATGCCCAGTGTAATAATATTCTTTGCAATGGCAAAATTACTTATGTGAAGTCTATAGCAAATAAAAAAGATAAAGATCCACTAACCTTCCCTTTCACATTGAAATCTATTGGTCGGCCAGGCGTGGTGTTTCATGCCTGTAATCCCAGCACTTTGGGAGGTTGAGGCAGGCGGAACCTGAGGTCAGGAGTTTGAGACCAGCCTAACCAACATGGAGTAACCCTGTCTCTACTAAAAATACAAAAAATTAGCCCAGTTTGGTGGCACATGCCTGTAATCCCAGCTGCTCAGGAGGCTGAGGCAAGAGAATCTGTTGAACCTAGGAGGTGGAGGTTGCAGTGAGCTAAGATTTTACACTCCAGCATGGGCAACTAAAGAAACTCTAAAAAAAAAAGAAATCTATTGGTCAATCCATGAGCCAGATGAAGCTCTTTCTTGTCTGTTCTTCACTGTAATGATATACCCTTGGTGAATTTATTAATTCTAACAGTTTTTGTTTTATAATTTTTAATTAAAATATGGAACGCTTCACAAATTTAGGTGTTATCCTTGTGCAGGGGCCAGGCTAATCTCTCTGTATCATTCCAATTTTAGTATATGAGCTGTCAAAGTGAGCACCTAATGGTGTTTTAGTGTTTGTTTTAAAAGGTGCATTTGTTGGATCCCATTTGTTGAAGACTGATGGACCTCAAAACTATTTATTTCTGCAGACACCTGTTATAAATTAAGGGAAGTGTACATCCTAATATGCTTTTTTTTTTTTTTTTTTTTTTAAATTGACGGGGTTTCACCACGTTGGTCAGGCTGGTCTTGAACTCCCGACCTCAGGTAATCCGCCCGCCTTGGCCTCCAAGGTGCTTGGATTGCAGGCGTGAGCCACCATGCCCGGCCCCTAATGTGCTTTTTAAGACCTTTTTTAATTGTCAAGATGGAGGCTATTTTTATATGTGCCTTATTTTGCATAAAGAGCTTTGGGATATACCAAGCAACTCCTTTGCCCTCCTTTTTTTTGAAGATGGAGTCTTGCTCTATTGCCCAGGCTGGAGTGCAGTGGCGCAATCTCAGTGTACTGCAACCGTGTACTGCAACCTCCACCTCCTGTGGTCGTGATTCTTCTGCCTCAGCCTTCCAAGTAGCTGGGATTACAGGTGCGCACCATCGTGCCTAGCTAATTTTTGTGTTTTTAATAGAGATAGGATTTCACCATATCGATCAGGCTGGTCTTGAACTCCTGACCTCAGGATCCACCCACCTCAGCCTCCCAAAGTGCTGGGATTACAGGCATGAGCCACCACACCTGGCTGCCCTCTTTCTTGAGTGCTTAATTTAATAAAGCTTTGTGATTAGCCTGCTTAGGTTTCTCTTTGTATTTTTTTAATGATAAATTCACTACAGATCAAATACATACTCTTAGAAAAGTTAACACAGAAAAGATAATGTACAAAAAGATATTAAATGACCTATCAAGCACAACTTGATATGTTCCACTCTATAGTTAATTATATGCCCTTCAGAAACTTTCCTATGTCATTTATAAACATATATTTTGGCTTTTACTTCAAATAAAAGCAGTGGGGAATTACACGTGGCTTTTTAATTTTTATCACAATATCTTGAACACCTTTCTATTTTTGTATGTACAAACCCACATTCTCTTTTTCCTTCATGCCTTTTTAAATGTTCTGTATTTCTTTTTGAGAGACAGGCTTGCTTTCAACTCTTGGGCTCAAACAATCTTCTTGCTTCAGCCTGCTGAATACCTGGGATTATAGGCATATGGCACTATGCCCAGTATTCTTTTTCATTCTGATTACTGTTTTTAAGTTGGTTTTTATTTCACAAGCAAAATGTGCATCTATTTTTCTTGTTAAAAAAAAATAAAAACATTAGGCCAAGCACGGTGGCTCACGCCTATAATCCCAGCACTTTGGGAGGCCAAGGCAGGCTGATCACGAGGTCAGGAGATCAAGACCATCCTGGCCAACATGGTGAAACCCCATCTCTACTAAAAATACCAAAAAAAAAAAAAACTAGCCAGGCATGGTGGCGTGTGACTGTAATCCCAGCTACTCAGGAGACTGAGGCAGGAGATTTGCTTGAAAACCAAGAGATGGAGATTGCAGTGAGCCAAGATGGCACCACTGCACTCCAGCCTGGGCAACAGAGCGAGACTGTGTCTCAAAAAAATATAAAATAAAAAAATAATAAAGTAAAATAAAATAAGGCCGGGCGCAGTGGCTCAAGCCTGTAATCCCAGCACTTTGGGAGGCGGAGACAGGTGGATCACAAGGTGGAGAGATCAAGACCATCCTGGTCAACATGGTGAAACCCCGTCTCTACTAAAAATACAAAAAAATTAGCTGGGCATGGTGGCACATGTCTGTAATCCCAGCTACTCAGGAGGCTGAGGCAGGAGAATTGCCTGAACCCAGGAGGCAGAGGTTGCGGTGAGCCGAGATCGCGCCATTGCACTCCAGCCTGGGTAACAAGAGCACGAAATAAATAAATAAAATAAAAATAAATATTTATTTTATTTATTTATCAAAAAAATAAAATAAAATAAAAACATTTTTTGGTAAAGCTAAAATCTTCCTGTATCAGCTTGAGTGTGTATGTGACACATATACTTTCACTTCACTTTTACGTAGTTAAAATATATTCAAATTTACTGTTCAAAATGGTATATATCACTTGGTATATTTCAGAATTTCCTGCAGATTTACATACTTAAGTACATCTCCATGGAAAACATATCATATGATCTATTTACATAAGCGAATATTGCATATATTTGTATTCAATAAACCTTCAAGATTCATTAATTTTAGATCACATAAATCTATCACATTCATTTAAACTTCTACCTATTCTACTTGGTATTCAGCAGATTGGACAAATGACAGTTTAGTTTCTTTTTTTTTTTTGAAACCAAGTCTCACTCAATCATCCAGCCTGGAGTGAAGTGGAATGATCTCGGCTTACTATAACCTCCACCTCCTGGGTTTGAGCGATTTTCCTGCCTAAGCCTCCCTAGTAGCTGGGATTACAGGTGCCCACCACCATGCCCGGCTAATTTTCCTATTTTAGTAGAGACAGGACTTCACCAAGTTGGCCAGGCTGGTCTCAAACTCCTGACCTCAAGTGATTTGCCTGCATCAGCCTCCCAAAGTGCTAGCATTACAGGCATGATTGAGCCACTATGCCTGGCATACTTTTTCTACTGTTACCCATTGAAGGCATTTCTGAATTTTTTTTTGCTGTGACATACCAGTCTACTTCAAATTTTTTTGCATGTCTAAATTTGGCACGTAAATGAGTGTACCTGTAGGATACATTCTTTGATATGTGATTGCTAACGTCAAAATAAGTATCTAGAATTTTGATGATGAAATTATCCTCCGATTTTTTTTTTTTTTTTCTTTTTGAGACAGAGTCTTGCTTTGTCACCCAGGCTGGAGTGCAGTGGTGGGATCTTGGCTCACTGCAACCTCCGCCTCCAGGTTCAAGCGATTCTGTGCCTCAGCCTCCTGAGTAGTTGGGATTACAAGCACCCACCACAACACCAGGCTAATTTTTGTATTTTTAGTAGAGGCAGGGTTTCACCATGTTTTTGGCCAGGCTGGTCTCAAACTCCTGACCTCAGTGATCCATCCACCTTGGCCTCTTAAAGTGCTGCAATTACAGGCATGAGCCATGGCACCTGGCCCAAAAATGGTTTTTGAAAATTAGTATCCCCACCTTAATTTCAAAAGTCATCTATTATTCCTTAACCTCAGTAAGTACTGTATATTATCTAAATTTCTTTACTTTTTGCCAATCTGTTGAATAACTAGGATAAAATGTAAATATCAATATGTAGGTATATGAAAACCATTTTGTTAACTTTTTTTCTTCTAGGTCTTTCCATTCATACTTTCCATGGGAACTTCTTTGTTAGGTCGACTGACTTATTGTCTTTGCCTAACGTCAACCCAGATGCTGGGTATGCCGTGCAGATGTCAGTGGAAGAGAGTCTTACTGACATTCAGTTGGTTTCTTTTCAATCAGCGCTCTTGTATACATCCAGCAAAGGTAAGTTGTTCGCTTGTTTGGATTTTAAATGTTCATGTATTGTCTGGACTTCAAATGTCAAAACAGGCTATAAAACACATGTAGCATGTCTTATGTTCGTTAACTTAAAATTTTTATTACCAGGGCTACTCTGGGCACACTGCCTGTGGGGTAGCCCTGTAAAATAAAAAAATAAATAAAAAATAAAATTTACCAAAAGCAGTAAACCAACTAAAAAGTTCAAAAAAGATATTTTTTTAAATTCAGTGTATTGTCGTTTGAATATGATCCCTATTTATTTAGTAATAACCTGAATGAAAAGAATTTTATAGTTTAAAAAAAAAAAGGAAGAAGTAGGACCAGGTGTGGTATCCTATAATCCTAGCATATAGGGAGGCTGACTGGGGGAGATCGCTTGAAGCCAGGCATTCAAGACCAGCCTGAACAACATAGTGAGGCACTGTCTCTTAAAAAAATTTTTTTTAAATTAACCAAGTATAGTGGCACAGACTGGTAGTCCTAGCTACTTGGAGGCTGAGTAGGGAGGATTGCTTGAGCCCAGGAGTTTGAGATTATAGTAAGTTGTGATTGCGTCACTACACTCCTGCCCGGGTGACAGAATGAGACCTTGTTTCTTAAAAAAAAAAAAAAAAAAAGATAAATATTTATGAACTTACTTGTTTTTAATAGAGATAGGGTCTTACTATGTTGCCTAGCCGTATCTTGAACTCCTGACCTCAGGTGATCCTCCCCCCTTGGCCTCCCCAAGTGCTGGGTGCTGGGATTGCAGTTGTGAGCTACTGTACCTGACCAATATAAAACTTTTGATATTATCTTTGCTTAGTATATAACTACATTACCTGGGTGTAAATTGATTTTTTTTAATATATATATATATATATACACAAAGATTTTTTTTTTTTTTTTAAAGAGATGGAGTCTCACTGTGTTGCCCAGGCTGCACTTCAACTCCTAAGCTCCTGACTCTGCCTCTGGAGTAGTTGGGACTGCAGGAGCACACCACTGCACCCAGCTAAGAAGTGATTTTTCCAAGTGACTTTAACATAATCTTTTGTTATATATAGTTGCCTCTCACTGTTGTTTGTGCTTTTTCCCCAAAGGTGAAAGAAGAATTCGTGTTCATACATTGTGTTTGCCAGTAGTTTCAACTCTAAATGATGTGTTTCTTGGAGCTGATATTCAAGCAATTTCAGGGTTATTGGCCAATATGGGTAAGAGTTGTTATCTGTTATAAATATTTTACAAGTAATAACATTAATCAAAGTCCAAACAGTTTTGTTTTCCTTTAAATAGTTAGCTTTATAGTTTGAATGTTTTAGATCCCCTGGGTGGGTGCCTGCTAAGTAACTATTTGAATGAAAAGATCTGCTGCAGGTAATCTTACCTTTTTTGTTTGTTTATTTAAATAAATTTATTGAGATATAATTACATACCATACCACTTCACCCATTTTAATCGATACTAATTTGTTTTTAGTGTTTTTACAGAGTTGTACAGCTATCACCACAATCTAATTTTATAACATTTCTGTCGCCCCAAGAGGAACCTCATGCTCATTAGCAGTTACTGCCTACTCCTTCCTCCCTCCCTTACTGGCCTTAAGTAACCACTAAACTACTTTGTCTCTATGTATTTGTCTACACTGAACTTAACTATGTCTTAGGTAATGCTGAATATTAGTGCTATTTAATAGTCTTTTTATGAGCTCTGTAACTTAGATTACAAGAGAAGCAGTATACCATAAACATCACTAGACTTGGAGTCATGGAATTGGGGATTGAAAACCAGTTTACCACCACAGATTTCTTTGCAGCCAAATCATGTGAGCCAATAGAAAACTTACTGATATCTTTAACTATTTATTTCTATCTCAGATACAGTTGCCTTCTTGTTTTTTTTTGGTCCCTTTTCCCTTTTCAAATACATACAGCTTAATAACATCAATTTGATTCTTGCAATCTTTCTACTGGAGGGAAGAATTTCAGTGGGTCCATTTTCTTTCTTTAGTTTTTGAAAACAGAGTCTTGCTCTGTCACCCAGGGTAGAGTGCAATGATGTGGTCCTAGCTCACTCTAGCCTTAACCTCCTGAGCTCAAGGGATCCTCCCACTTCAACCTCATGAATAGCTGGGACTAAAGGCCTACAACACCACACCCAGCTAACTTTAAAAAAACTTTTTGTAGAGACAGAGTCTCACTGTGTTGCCCAAGCTGATCTTGAATCCTAGGCTCAAGCAGTACTCCTGCTTTGGTGTACCAAACTGTTGGGATTACCAGCGTGAGCCACCATACCCAGCCTCAGTAGGTCCATTTGCTTTAAATTTAAATCTGTCTGTATCAGGAATAGTTACCCACTTTCTTGAATTTGGGAAAAATGTTTTACATGGAGCCTCGTAAAGGATTCATCCACACTTAAGTCTTTTATGTTGTTAGGTGTTTAAGATTGTGACCTAGGAAATTTGAAGATCACTGCCTTTATTTTTTTGTTTAAGTTACATTTTTTGGTAACTGATTATTATTATTGGCAGCAATAACTATTAGGTAGGTTTTGTGGATTTGTGATAAATTGTCACAACTTTGTAAGTATTCTTTCTGCTACCATATTGAATGTATTTTTAGTACCACATGAATGGTGTTTAAAGTTTGAGAAGTCTTCAAAACAATTATGTTTTTTTTAAAATATTGAAAAAAAAATTTCTGCGTATAAACAGAGTGCTATGACAAATGATGAAAATCTGTCTAAATAAAAGACCAGGCATGGTGGCTCATGCCTGTAATCCCAGGACTTTGAGAGGCCAAGGTGGTTGGATCATTTGAAGCCAGGAATTCAAGACTAGCCTGGCCAATATGGAGAAACCCTATCTCTACTAAAAATACACACACACACACACACACACACACACACACACACACACAAAATTAGTCGGATGTGGCACATGTCTGTAGTCCCAGCTACTTGGAAGGCCGAGGCAGGAGATTTACTTGAACCCGAGAGGCAAAAGATGCAGCCAAGATCACGCCACTGCACCCCAGCCTGGGCAGCAGAGTGAAACTCCATCTCTAAATAAGTAAATATCTCTAAGAGCTCTTTCTGTAAATATAAAATAAAAACTCTGGGCTGGGCATGGTGGTTTATGCCTATAATCCCAGCACTTTGGGAGGCTGAGGCAGGAAGATTGCTTGAGGCCATAAGTTTGAGATCAGCCTTGGCAACATAGGGAGACTGTAAAAAAAAAAAAAAATTTTTTTTTTTTTTTGAGACGTAGTTTCACTCTTTTTGCCCAGGCTGGAGTGCAATGGTGCGTTCTCTGCTCACCATAATCTCTACCTCCTAGGTTCAAGCAATTCTCCTGCCTCAGCCTTCCAAGTAGCTGGAATTACAGGCATGTGCCACCACACCCAGCTAATTTTTTTGTATTTTTAGTAGAGACGGGGTTTCACCATGTTGGCCAGGATGGTCTCAATCTCTTGACCTCATGATCAGCCTGCCTCGGCCTTGCAAAGTGCTGGGTGTGAGCCACCGTGCCTGGCCAAAAAAATTTTTTTAATTAATTAAAATAAAAATGTCAAAAGAACTCTGTTTCTAAACACTGTGTATTTCAGGAAACAGGAAAGCATTATATGTTTAATTGCAATGTTTTTCTTTCTCAATGGTATATAAAATGTTGGGTTACAATCAATAGCATAACTGAGGCTCAGAAAGGTTAAGTTACTTGCCAAATTATTATACAACTAGGAAATAGCAGAGCAGCATTTCAAATGAGGTTGGCTCAATTCTCCAGAGCATGCTTGTAGCTGCTGTGTTTCGTCTTGTTTGTATATATAGTAAATTGGAGAAAGACAGTATAGTTTTAAAAACTTATCTCTTCTATCCTTAACAGTGGAGTAGCTAAACTTCTGTTATATTTCTCTTTTGTCCTTACTTTCACCTCACTTAGCTGTTGACAGATCCATGACTGCCAGTCTGAGTGACGCTCGGGATGCTCTAGTGAATGCAGTCATTGACTCCCTTTCTGCTTACCGTTCTTCAGTCTTAAGTAACCAGCAGCCTGGACTGATGGTTCCTTTTTCTTTGCGGCTTTTCCCACTTTTTGTGTTGGCTCTCCTTAAACAGGTAAGAAAAACAGATACAGAAACTAACACAATGAGGGCCAGAAACTGTGGCCTACACCTCAGTCCGGGCACTTTGGGTGGCTGACATGGGTGGCTTGCTTGAGTCCATACATTTGAGACCAGAGTGGCCAACATGGTGAAACCCCATCTCTACAAAAAATACAAAAAAACTAGCCAGATATGGTGGTGTACGCCTGTAGTCCCAGTTACTCTGGAGGCTGAGGTGGGAGGATGCTTGCGTCCAGGAGGCGGGGATTATAGTGAGCACATATCACGCCACTGTACTCCAGCTTGGGTGACAGAGCCAGACTCTGTCTCAAAACAAAACAGAACAAAAGAGGCCAAGGCGGGTGGATCACGAGGTCAAGAGATTGAGACCATCCTGGTCAACATGGTGAAACCCCGTCTCTACTAAAAAAATACAAAAAATTAGCTGGGCATGGTGGCGCGTGCCTGTAATCCCAGCTACTCAGGAGGCTGAGGCAGGAGAATTGCCTGAACCCAGGAGGCAGAGGTTGCGGTGAGCCAAGATCGCGCCATTGCACTCCAGTCTGGGTTACAAGAGCGAAACTCCGTCTCGGGGGGGGGGGGGGGGGCGGCCAGAACAAAAGAAACGAACACAGTGGAAACATCAAAAGGCAAAATTTTTATCCTATGAATCCCTAAACATTGTATACATAACTTTATGCTGGTTAAATTTCTGAGGACAGGGGCCTTGCCTCTTAATTGAACTTTGAAAATTTTATAACCAAAGAAACTTGCAAATAACTGATTCAGAACAAGTTTCTCATTTATAAGATGCTTCTCTGGCTGGGTGCAGTGGCTCATGCCTGTAATGTCAGCACTTTGGGAGATTGAGGTCGGCAAATCATGAGGTCGGAAGTTCAAGAGCAGCCTGACCAATATGATGAAACCCCTTCTCTACTGAAAATACAAAAATTAGCCAGGCATGGTGGCACCTACCTGTAGTCTCAGCTACTCTGTAGGCTGAAACAGGAGAATCGGTTGAGCCCAGGAAATGGCGATTGTAGTGAACCAAGATCGCGCCACTGCGCTCTGGCCCAGGCAAAAGAAAGAGACTCCATCTCAAAAAAAAAAAAAGAAAGATGCTTCTCTAAGCAAAGTATTCAGTGACATTATAAAAAATTCAACTGATAATCAGTTTTCCAAAACAAGAATTATATATCATATTGCTGGTGCAAGAAGGCACACATGGATTGCATGTTCTCACTTAATATGTAAAAGCTAAAAAATCAAACACACAGAAGCAGAAAGCAGAATGGGTGTTACTAGAGGCTGAGTGGTGCGGAAGGAAAGCAGTGATATCGAACAAAAGGTACAGTGCTTTAGTTAGGCAGGAGGAATAAATGATGTAACCATTGGAGATCATGGATATGTTACTTAGCTTCATTAAATCATTCCACATTGTATACTATATCATCGCATCCCTTTGTATCTAATAAATATATACAATTAAAATTTTTCACCAATAAAAAGTTAAAGTTAACTTTTTTTAAAAAAAGAGCATACATGTGATTTTTTTTTTTTTTTTTTTTTGCTCTTTCTTGTTCCCTACAGACTTTCAGCAACATTATACTTCTTTTTTTTGAGATAGAGTCTCAATCTGTCACCCAGGCTGGAGTATAGTGGCACCATCTTGGCTCACTGCAACCTCCGCCTCCAGGGTTCAAGTGATTCTCCTGCTTCAGCCTCCCGAGTAGCTGGGATTACAAGGGTGTGCCACCACGTCCAGCTAATTTTGTGTTTTTAGTAGAGATAGGGTTTTACCATGTTGGTCTGGCTGGTCTCAAACTCCTGATCTCAGGTGATTTGCCCCCCCTTGGCATCCCAAAGTGCTAGGATTACAGGCCTGAGCTACCACACCCAGTCAACATTACACCTCTTAATCTTTTTTGAGACAGGGTCTCCCTCTGTCGCCCAGGCTGGAGTGCACTGACAAGATCTCAGCTCATTGCAACCTCTGCCTCCTGGATTCAGGCAATTCTCCCCACTCAGCCTCCTAAGTAGCCGGGATTATAGGCATGCACCACCACAGCCCGGCTAATTTTTGTATTTTCATTAAAGACAGGGTTTTACCATATTGGTCAGGCTGGTTTTGAACACCCAACCTCATGTGATCCATCCGCCTCAGCCTCAAAAGTGTGGGGATTACAGCCTTTAGCTACCACGCCTGGCCCTTAATCTTCTTTAGATACACCTGCCACCACGCATGGCTAATTTTTTGTATGTTTAGTAGAGACGGGGGTTTCACTGTGTTGGCCAGGCTGGTCTGGAACTCCTGACCCTGTGATCCACGCCCTTCGGCTGGGATTACAGGCCTGAGCCACTGTGCCCAGCCTCTAGTTCTCACTTCTTTAACTCAAATTATCTATTTCAATTTCTGAATATAAGTACACAGATTACATAAGTATTTAAATTTTAACATTTAAAAATCTGAGCTCTTCTTTCTCCTTCAGGCCTTTCTTGAAATGCTTTTTTCTAAAGCCCACATTCTCTGATCTTCCTCATTTAATATGCAACACTCTAATCCCAACCCATCCCACATCATTCTGACACCCTTAATCACTCTTACCTCTGTATTTTTCCTATGGCGTTTATCATTGACATACCACATATTTTTTTGCTTATTTTTTATTCTTCCCTTAATAGGATGTAAGTTCCATGAGGACAAGGATTTTTATTTTATTCATTCACTTTTTTGTCCTAGCAGTTAGAATAGCTCCTAGTATATAATAGACACACAGGAAATATATTCTAAATGAATAGATGGAACTTTTCTTCTAACATTAAAATCTTAAGAGCTTTTATAATCTTCAGTGTACTTTTTTTTTTGAGACGGAGTTTCGCTCTTGTTACCCAGGCTGGAGTGCAATGGCGCGATCTCGGCTCACCGCAACCTCCTCCTCTTGGGTTCAGGCAATTCTTCTGCCTCAGCCTCCTGAGTAGCTGGGATTACAGGCACGTGTCACCATGTCCAGCTAATTTTTTGTATTTTTAGTAGAGATGGGGTTTCACCATGTTGACCAGGATAGTCTCAATCTCTTGACCTCGTGATCCACCCGCCTCAGCCTCCCAAAGTGCTGGGATTACAGGCGTGAGCCACCGCGCCCTGCCAAGTGTACTTGTTTTAATATATAATTTCATTATTCTTTTCTCTCTACCTCCTTTCCATCAGTTGGAATACTTAAAATCTTACCCATAACTTTATTCTTCTCCATTTTTATCTGTGTAAAGAAAATAAGTTAAATATCATATTTACTTATTAACAAATTTTACTAAGAAGCTGTCCTCATTTGTAGTACTATTATTTTTTTTTTTGGTAATTAGTATTCTTTGTTATATTGTTTATATGGTGGGTCAATGACAGCTGCCATTAATCATCACCCAGCATTTATAGAACACTTAGTGCAGGGTTCTCACTGCACTACCCCCGGGCCACAAACCAGTACCAGTGGGTGGCTTGTTAGGAACCGAGCCCCAAAACAGGAGGTGACTGGTGGGTGAGGGAGTATTACTGCCTAAGCTCTGCCTCCTGGCAGATAAGCGACAGCATTAGATTCTTATAGGAGCACCAGCCACATTGTGAACTGCGCATGTGAGAAATCTGAGTTGCACACTCCTTATGAGAATCTAATGCCTGATGATATCAAGTGGAACAGTTTCATTCCAAAATAATCCTCTGCCATGTCCCCCTTAGTCTGTGGAAAAATTGACTTCCACAAAACCAATCCCTGGTGCCAGAAAGGACCACTGACTTAATAGATATCTTTTTGGTTGTTCACATATGCCTTTACTTTGTCATCTGCAGCATAACTTCATCCTTCCTATGGTGCTGCTTGGATTGTTACATCACTATCATTACATGGTAGATAAAGTATTTAGATCTATTTTATCAACTAGGAAACAGACACCAGGGAGATCAGATAACTTTGCCATGGTCAGTTGGTTAATTTCACAAGACTTTTAGGTGGGGCTGTTGCTACATTTTAATAGATGTGTGGACTTCTTGAAAAAAGATACTTAAAAAAATATTCTTTTAACAACCGGCATTTTGAAAGTTCTAAATGTATTTTTAAAATATAGTTTTTTTGTGGGGAATGGGCGTTTTCTGTTACAGAAATCATTCCAGACTGGAACAAATGCACGTCTAGATGAACGCATTTTTGCTATGTGTCAAGTGAAAAATCAGCCCTTGGTTTACCTTATGCTCACAACTCATCCCAATTTGTATAGAGTTGACAATCTCTCAGATGAGGTAAGATGGATTGCTTTTTTGTGGCTTTTACTTGAAGATTAGTAAGGCTAATCATAATCAAGTACAGAAATGAGGAAGGTTTATTATTTAAGGCTTTATCTTTTGTTTTTGTTTTTTTTGTTAAGACTAAGTAAAGAAATTTTAGTATAGGGAAGCTCCTAAAAATAGTGTCAGTAAGTCTCCTAAAATACCATCTGTAGAACAGATCTAAGAAATGGGAAGACTGTCAAATTGACCAGAGCAACTTATTTATTTATTCAAACAAATTGATCTTTTAACAACTGACATTTTAAAAGTTCTGGGTATATTTATGCTCTCTTTGGCAGCACATATACTAAAATTGGAACAATGCAGAGAAGATTAGCATGGCCCCTGTGCAAGGATGACATACACATGTGTGAAGTGTTCCATATTTTAGGAACAGAAAACCAAACACTGAATGTTCTCACTCACAAGCAGGATTTGAACAATGAGAACACATGGACACAAAGAAAGGAACATCACATACACTGGCATCTGTCAGGGGTTGGGGGGCAAGTGGAGGGAGAGTATTAGCACAAATCCCTAATGCATGTGGGGCTTAAAACCCAGATGACAGGTGAATGGGTGCAGCAAACCACCATGGCACATGTATACCTATGTAACAAACCTGCATGTTCTGCACATATATTCCAGAACTTAAAGTATAGTTAAAAAAAATTTTGGGTGAATTTTTAAAATATCTTTTTTGTGGAGAATAGGGGTATTTTTTGTTATAGAAATCATTCCAGACTGGAACAAAAGTACATCTAGATCTGAGAGTGAAGTTACATCTGAACACCCAGTTCAATGTAACAGTGTCCTTGAATTAAAGAAAAAATATTTATCTAAGTTGCAACATTGTTTTCCTTTGGTAGAAATTTACCGGAATTAAAGTCACAAGAATGAAAATGTTAAATCAAAATCCTTCTAAAACTGTGATCAAGTTAAGATACATATTTTGGAAGTAATGTTCTGGTTAAAAATCTTTCAAAATATAAAGAATTTAAGATACAGGACCGGTGAGGTGGCTCATGCCTGTAATCCCAGCACTGTGGGAGGCTGAGGCAGGTGGATCACCTGAGGCTGAGTTAGAGACCAGCCTGGCCAACATGGCAAAACCCCATCTCTACTAAAAATACAAAAAGTAGCTAGGCATGGTGGTGCACACCTATAATCCCAGCCTCTTGAGAGGCTGGGGCAGGAGAATCACTGGGACCCAGGAGTTGGAGGTTGCACTGAGCCAAGATCGTGCCACTGCACTCCAGCCTCAGTGACGACAGAACTCCATCTCAAAAAAAAAAAAAAAGAAGAAGAAGAATTTAAGATACCTTGCAAATATAAAGGAAAATTGCCTGTGAAATTTGAGGTAACTTTCTTTTTCTTTTTTTGAGACAGAGTTTTGCTCACATGGCCCAGGCTAGAGGGCAATGGCACAATCTCACCTCACTGCAACCTCTGCCTCCTGGATTCAAGTGATTCTCCTGCCTCAGCCTCCCAAGTAGCTGAGATTATAGGCGTGCGCTACCATGTCCGAATAATTTTGTATTTTTAGTAGAGATGGGGTTTCACCATGTTGGTCAGGCTGGTCTTTTAACTCCTGACCTCAAGCCTCAAGTGATCCACTCACCTTGGCCTCCCAAAGTGCTGGGATTATAAGTATGAGCCACCATGCCTGGCCTATTGCATTCTTTTTTTTTTTTTTTTTTTTTTTTTTGAGACGGAGTTTCACTCGATACCCAGGCTGGAGTGGTGCAATGGTGCGATCTCGGCTCACCACAACCTCCGCCTCCTGGGTTCAGGCAGTTCTCCTGCCTCAGCTTCCTGAGTAGCTGGGATTACAGGCACGCGCCACCATGCCCAGCTAATATTTTGTATTTTTTTTAGTAGAGACGGGGTTTCACCATGTTGACCAGGATGGTCTCAATCTCTTGACCTCGTGATCCACCTGCCTCGGCCTCCCAAAGTGCTGGGATTACAGGCTTGAGCCACTGCGCCCGGCCTGCATTCTTTTTTAAAACAAGGGTTAGGATCAGAAGTTGATGGCCAGGCATGGTGGATCATGCCTGTAATCCCAGCACTTTGGGAGGCCAAGGCAGGTGGATCACCTGAAGTCAGGAGTTCAAGACCAGCCTGGCCAGCATGGTGAAACCCCTTCTCCACTAAAAATACAAAAAATTAGCCAGGCATGGTGGCACATACCTGTAATCCTAGCTACCCAGGAGACTGAGGCAGGAGGATCCCTTGAACCCTGAAGGTGGAGGTTGCAGTGAGCCAAGATCTGGGCCAACAAGAGCAGAACTCCATCTCAAAAGAAAAAAAAAAAACAAGATCAGAAGTTAATTTGGCTTTATTGGGAGTCACAATGGCTTGGTTAGATAAGTGATAACTATCTAACTGTAACTATCATCGTCATCTTTGTGCTTAAATAGGAATAATTGTGATTTACCTAAGCAAGGCCCAAACTCTTAGAGGAAACATTCATTTAATTTTTTGTTGTTGTTTAATTGCGACTCCTTATTTCCTATAATTAAAACTTTACTCTTTTATTTAATTCCTCAGGGAGCACTCAACATTAATGATAGAACCATACCTCAGCCCCCTATTCTTCAGCTTTCAGTAGAGAAGCTAAGCAGAGATGGAGCTTTCCTCATGGATGCAGGCTCTGTAAGTAGTTTGACTTATCCTGACCCTCACTGCAAACTACTGTACTGTTTTAATTTAGCATTTGGTTTCATTTCCTTTAATATCTATCTTCCTGAACAGATTTCATACATTAACCTATGTAGAGTCATACACTGATTAATGATGTGTAAGTCATCGCTTATATGATGGAGATCCCATAAGATTTATGATGGAGCTGAAGAATTCCTATCACAGAGTATTTACTATGTAATTTTTTTAATTATTGTTTTAGAACTGTACTCCTACTTAATTAAAAAAAATAGTTAACAGCCTCAGGCAGGTCTTTTAGAGGTATTCTAGAAAAAGATGTTGTAATCATAGGAGATGACAGCTCTGTGCATGTTATTGCCCCTGAAGATTTTCCAATGAGACAAGATGGGGAGGTGGAAGCCAGTGAGATTGATCTTGACACTGTGGAGGCCTAGGCTAACGTGTGTTTGTGTTTCAGTACTTAACAAAAAATTTAAAAAGTAAAAAATAAAAAAATTTTTTAAATAGGGAAAAGTTTATAGAATAAGGATATAAAGGAAGAATATTTTTGTATAGCTGTACAATGTGTGTTTTAAGTGTTATTACAAAAGAGTCAAAAAATTGAAGTTGGCTGGGCATGGTGGCTCATGCCTGTAATTCCAGCACTTTGGGAGGCCAAGGCAGGTGGATCGCTGGAGGTCAGGAGTTAGAGACCAGCCTGGGTAACATGGTGAAACCCTGTCTGTATTCAAAATACATATATTAGCCAGGCATGGTAGCTCGTGCCTGTAGTCCCAGCTACTCAGAAAGCTGAGGTGAGAGAATCACTTGAACCGAGGAGGCTGAGGCTGCAGTAAGCTGAGATCATGACACTGCACTTGAGCCTGGGCAACAGAATGAGACCTAGTCTCAAAAAAAAAAAAAAAAAAGTTGTTGGCCGTTGGCCGGGCCCAGTGGCTCATGCCTGTAATCCCAACATTTTGGGAGGGCATGGAGAGTGGACTGCTTGAGCCTAGGAATTCGAGAACAGCCTGGGCAACATGGCGAAACCCCTACAAAAATCAGCCAGGCCTAGTGATGTGCACCTGTAGTACCAGCTACTTGGGAGGCTGAGGTGGGAAGATCACCTGAGTCCAGGAGGTCGAGGTTGCAGTGAGCCAAGATAATACCACTGTACTCCAGCCTGGGCAGCAGAACAAGGCCCTGTTCAAAAAAAAAAAAAAATTAAAAGAGGCCGGGTGCAGTGGTTCATGCCTGTAATCCCAGCACTTTGGGAGGCTGAGGCCTGTGGTTCACCTGCGTTCGAGAGTTCGAGACCAGCCTGACCAACATGGTGAAACCTGTCTCTATTAAAAATACAAAATTATTCGGACATGGTAGCACATGCCTATAATCCCAGCTACTCTGGAGGCTGAGGCAGGAGAATCACTTGAATCCAGGAGGCAGAGGTTGCAGTGAGCTGAGATCACATCACTGCACTCTAGCCTGGGCAACAAGAGCAAAACTCTGTCTCAAAAAGAAAAAAAGAAAAGGAAAAAAAAGTTTATAAAAGTTATAGTAAGCTAAGGTTAATTACTGAAAATTAACCTTAAGAAAGAAATTTTATATATATATATATATAGTATGGCCTAAATGTACAGTATTTATAAAGTTTATAGCAGTATATACAGTAATGTCCTAGGCCTTTATATTCACTCACCATTCACTGACTCACCCAGAGCAACTTTCAGTCTTGTGGGCTCCATTCATAGTAAGTGCCCTATATAAATATCTGTTTATCTCTTCTACCATATTTTTACTATACTTTTCCTGTTTTTAAATGCACACTTATCATTGTGTTACAGTTGCCTACAGTGTTCAGTACAGTAACATGCTCTAGAGGTTTGTAGCCTAGGAGCAATAAGCTATACCATATGGCCAAGGTATGCAGTAGGCTATTACCATCAAGGCTTATGTAAATACACTATGATGTTCACAAAATTAAATCACATAACAACACATTTCTCAGCATATATCCCCATTGTTCAGTGATTAATGGCAGTATATTTGTCACCTTCCCCCTCCATATCCTCCTTGTTTCATACCAAGCATAAAATGTCTTATGGTAAATAGTAATTATTATTAATTCAATTAAAGGCTGTACAATCTAACTAAATATACTTAGCTTTTTGATATTTTAAAATATACTCAGTCAGGCTGGGCATGGTGGCTGATGCCTGTAATCCCAGCACTGTGGGAGGAAAAGGCAGATGGATCACTTGAGGTGAGGAGTTCAAGACTAGCCTGCCCAACATGGTGAAACCCCATCTCTACTAAAAATACAAAAATTATGTGAGCATGGTGGCACACACCTGTAATCCCAGCTACTCGGGAGACTGAAGTGGGAAACTGTTTGAACGTAGGAGGCAGAGGTTGCAGTGAACCAAGATTGTACCACTGCACTTCAGCCTGTGCGACAGAGTGAGACCCTATCTCAGAAGTATATATAAAAAATAAAAATAAAATATACTCAGTCAACAGACTCACTCACCTTTATGTATGGTACATCTCAAAATAATTTTATTCTTGTCCTTAGGTACTGATGCTTTGGGTTGGAAAAAATTGTGCACAGAGTTTTCTCAGCCAAGTTCTAGGAGTTCAAAACTATGCATCAATTCCACAGCCTATGGTAAGACTTTTATTATGGTGATTATAAAGGGCATTTCAAAGGTGGCAAAAACATGAATAGCCACTATTTTGATATCAGAAAATAATAACAAAATTATACCATTTTTATTGATAGGTTTTTATATTGATGGATTCTATTATTCCATTCATAGAATCACTGAGGAATTTATGTATTTAAACAACAGATAGGCCAGGCATGGTGGCTCACACTGTAATCCCAGCACTTTGCGAGGCCGAGGTGGGTGGATTACAAGGTCAAGAGATTCAGACCATCCTGGCCAATATGGTGAAACCCTGTCTCTACTAAAAATACAAAAATTAGCTGGGTGTGGTGACGAAAGCCTGTAGTCTCAGCTACTCGGGAGGCTGAGGCAGGAGAATCACTTGAACCTGGGAGGCGGAGGTTGCATTCACACCACTGCACTCCAGCCTGGTGACAGAGCAAGACTACATCTCAAAAAAAAAAAAAGAAAAAAGATATGCGAGGCATGGCGGCTCACACTTGTAATCCCAGCACTTTGGGAAGCTGAGGTGAGAGGATTACTCGAGCTCTGGAGTTTGAGACCACCCTGAGCAACATAGTGAGACCCCATAACTACAAAAAATTTTTTAAATAGTTGGGCATGGTAGCACACAACTGTGGTCTTAGCGACTTAGGACACTGAGGTGGGAGGATTGCTAAGGCCTGGGAGGTTGAGGCAGCAGGGAGCAATGATTGCACCACTGCACTCCAGCCTGGACAAAAGAGCAAGAACCTGTCTCAAAAAATAAAAGACAGCTATATCAGGATTATAGCTAGGATATGCAGTGGATTTCAGGCCTGGAACAAAACTACTGGACTGGATGACTAAGTGTTTTAAGTAATGAGTAAATAAGAAATGGTTATATTTTTAATAATACCTGAATGAATCAATTAATTCTGGATGTCATGCTAAAATGAAGAGAAGAACTAAGAGGGTTTTCTAGATGAGGGCTTAGCAAACTATGCCCAAGGGGTACCTGCTACTTGTTTTTGTAAATTTGGTTTCTTTGGGGCCCGGTGCGGTGGCTCTTGCACTTGAACTTGGGAGGCAGAGGTTGCAGTGAGCTGAGATCACGCCATTGCATTCCAACCTGAGCAACAAGAGCAAAACTCTGTCTCAAAAAAAAAAAAAAAAGGTTTCATTGGAACATCCATGCCCATTCACTTATATATTGTTTATGGCTACTTTGGTGTAACAATGGCAAATTGAGTAGTTGCAGCAGAGACCAAATGACCTACAAGCCTAAGGTATTTACCATCTGGGCCTTTAAGAAGTTTGCCTACTCCTGTTCTGGATTATTTGTAGAAAATTGTAGTCCCAAGTCAAGTTGCATTGGCATGACTGTGGGAATTTTTTAGGAAAGCAAAATCTTAGGACCACACCCTTGCCCTAGACCTCCTATATCTTTATCTGTAGTTCAACAAGATTATCAGGTGATTCATATGCATGTTAAAATTTAAGGCCAAGTACAGGGGCTCACACCTGTTGTCCCAGCACTTTGGGAGGCCGAGGTGGGTAGATTGTTTGAGCCCAGGAATTCTAGACAAGCCTGAGCAACCTGGTGAGATCCTTATCTCTACTAAAAATATAAAAATTAGCTGGCAGGTGGGGCACACCTGTTATTCAGCTACTGGAGGTTAGGGGGCTGAGGTGAGAGAATCACTTGAGCCTTGGAAGGCAGTGGAGGTTACAGTGAGCCATGATTGCACCAGTGCACTTCAGCCTGGGCAACATAGGAAGACCCTGTCTCAAAAAAGTAAGTTAAATTTGAGAAGTAGGCTGGGCACAATGGCTCACATCTGTAATCCCAGCACTTTGGGAGGCTGAGGCAGGTATATTGCCTGAGCCCAGGAGTTTGAAACCAGCCTGGGCAATATGGTGAAACCCTGTCTCTATAAGAAATACAATAGCCAGGCATGGTGTACACATCTATAGTCCCAGCTACACAGGAGGCTGAGGTGGAAGGATCACCAGAACCAAGAGGTTGAGACTGCAGTGAGCCATGATTGTGCCACTGCACTCCAGCCTGGCGACAGAGACCTTGTCCCAAAAAAGAAAACAGAAAAAAAAATGTAATTAAAAGAATTAAAATTTGAGAAGTACCATAAACCATAATATTAGATATATAATTAATTTGAATCTTGTTGGTTTTGATTAACAGACAGACCTTCCAGAACTTGGTACACCAGAATCTGCCAGAATAGTAACTTTCATCTCTTGGCTTAGAGAGCAGAGACCATTCTTCCCAATACTTTATGTAATAAGGTAAGTTGAATTTTCCATTTGCTAGTAGTAAGACACTTTGTTTGGCCTTGCCACAACCTGTTTCAAATAATGGATATATGTGATCTCATGTTTAAGCAACCTTTTACAAGAGTGTAGCAAAAAAAAGAAGAATTCTTCTCAATAAATAGCAGTAAAGCATGCCTTAGATCCAATTATTGAAAATACTACACTTTTTTATTTTTATTTTTATTTTATTTTATTTTTTTTTGAGACAGAGTTTCGCTCTTGTTACCCAGGCTGGAGTGCAATGGCGTGATCTCGGCTCACCACAGCCTCCGCCTCCTGGGTTCAGGCAATTCTGCCTCAGCCTACTGAGTAGCTGGGATTACAGGCACGTGCCACCATGCCCAGCTAAATTTTTGTATTTTTAGTAGAGATGGGGTTTCACCATGTTGACCAGAATGGTCTCGATCTCTTGACCTCATGATCCACCCGCCTCGGCCTCCCAAAGTGCTGGGATTACAAGCGTGAGCCACCGAGCCCGGCTCTTTTTTTTTTGAGACACAGTCTCACTCCGTCACCAGGCGCCAGGCTGAAGTGCAGTGGTGCAACCTCAGCTCACTGCAACCTCCGCCTCCTGGGTTCAAGCAGTTCTCCTGTCTCAGCCTCCCAAGTAGCTGAGACTACAGGCACATGCCACCACACCCAGCTAATTTTTTTGTATTTTTAGTAGAGATGGGGTTTCACCATGTTGGTCAGGATGGTGTCAATCTCTTGACTTTGTGATCCACCCTCCTCGGCTTCCCAAAGTGCTGTGATTACAGGTGTGAGCCACTGTCTTTTTTTTTTTTTGAGATGGAGTCTCGCTCTGTTGCCCAGGCTGCAGTGCAGTAGCACAGTCTCAGCTCACTGCAACCTCTGCCTCCTGGGTTCTTGCAATTCTCCTGCCTCAGCCTCCCAAGTAGCTGGGCCTACAGGTGCATGCTGCCACGCCCAGCCAATATTTTGTATTTTAATAGAGACGAGGTTTCAGCATGTTGCCCAGGCTGGTTTTGAACTCCTGAACTCAGGCAAACCACCCACCTCGGCCTCCCAAAGTGCTGGGATTACAGGCATGAGCCACCATGCCTGGCCCACTTTTTTCATTTTTAATTGACTAATAATAAGTGTATATATTTATGGGGTACACTGATTTCTTTTTTGTTTTTGTTCTGAGATGGAGTCTCGCTCTGTCACCCAGGCTGGAGTGCAGTGGCAAGATCTCGGCTCACAGCAACCTCTGTCTCCCGGTTTCAAGTGATTCTCCTCCCTCAGCCTCCTAAGTCTGGGAGTGCAGGCAAACACCACCACACCTGGCTAATTTTTTGTATTTTTAGTAGAGACGGGCTTTCACCATGTTGGTCAGGCTGGTCTCAAACTCCTGACCTTGTGATCCACCCGCCTCGGCCTCCCAAAGTTCTGGGATTACAGGCATGAGCCACCGAAATTTCTTGATCCTTGTATACATTATGGACTGGTCAAATTAGGCTAATTAACATATACATCTCCTGAGCCAATTATTGTTTCTTTGTAGTGAGAACATTTAAAATCCATTATTTTGCCTATTTTAAAATATGCAATATGTTATCATTAACTATAGTCATCATACTGTGTAATAGGTAACCAGAATCTATTCCTCCTAAGGAAATTTTGTACCCTTTGACTAACATCTCTTCTTTCCTTCTCCACACCCACCTTCTGCCCCCTAGCCTCTAATAACCATAATTCTACTTTGTACTTAGATGAGTTCAACTTTTTTTTTTTTTTTTTTTTTGAGACGGAGTTTCACTCTTGTTACCCAGGCTGGAGTGCAATGGCGCGATCTCGGCTCACCGCAACCTCCGCCTCCTGCGTTCAGGCAATTCTCCTGCCTCAGCCTCCTGAGTAGCTGAAATTACAGGCACGCACCACCATGCCCAGCTAATTTTTTGTATTTTTAGTAGAGACGGGGTTTCACCGTGTTGACCAGGATGGGCTCGATCTCTTGACCTCGTGATCCACCCACCTCAGCCTCCCAAAGTGCTGGGATTACAGGCGTGAGCCACCGCACTCAGCCTCGATGAGTTCAACTTTTTTAGATTCCACACATAAGCTAGATTTTGTGGTATTTGTCTCTCTGTGCTTGGTTTTTTCACTTAGCATAATATCCTTTAGCTCCATCCATGTCACAAATGACAAAATTTCCTGTTTTTTAAAGGCTGAATAGAATTCCATTGTGTATATATACCCCATTTGAAAAATCCATTCATCTAGTTATTTCCATATCTTGGGTGTTGTGAATAATGCTGCAGTGATCATGGAAGTGCAGGCATCTCTTTGATAAACTGATTTCAATTCCCTTGGATATGTACTCAGAAGTGGAATTTCTGGATCAACTGTTTATCTTAATTCCACCATAAGCTTTTCCCTTTAACAACTTATAGTTCACATAACCAAGTATTCTCAGAGAAAGCTTCTAGAAATAACTTTATATAGTAAATGTTATGATGGTTATGAGAAAATCAAAAGCCTTCTGATGGGTGTGGTGGTTCACGCCTATAATCCCAGCACTTTGGGAGGCAGAGGCAAGTGGATCACGAGGTTAGGAGATGGAGCCCATCACGGACAACATGGTGAAACCCCGTCTCTACTAAAAATACAAAAAAATTAGCTGGGCATGGTGATGCACGCCTGTAACCCTAGCTACTCAGGAGGCTGAGGCAGGAGAATTGCTTAAACCCAGGATGCGGAGATTGCAGTGAGCAGAGGTCTCGCCACTGCACTACAGCCTGGGGGACAGTTTGAGACTCTGTATCAAAAAAAAAAAAAAAAAAAGCTTTCTGACAAGTCTGTTTATTTTACTGTTACATTTTATCTAAAAGTTTTTGCCTTTTATTCCTAAGGGATGAGAGTCCAATGAAAGCAAACTTCCTTCAAAACATGATAGAAGACAGAACAGAATCTGCATTATCATATTATGAATTCCTGTTGCATATACAGCAACAAGTGAATAAATGAACAAATGAAGAAGTTTGACTTAATTATTTCTAAGGAATGTCACAATAGTGCAGAATACCTGGAAATGTGTAATACCTTCTTTTTCTATTGTTTGTGGACTAATATGTTGATTGAGATGTTCTCACTGTGATTTCAACAACCTATAGCAAATAAAAGACCACAGCAGAGAATCAAACATGCAACTTTGAAATACTGTATTTTTCAAATCAGAATCTAGCTACATATGATTGGATACTTTTTTCTTGCCAATTATGTTTAAGTTGTTATGGATTAAAATAAGACAAGACAATATTGCAGAGGCAAAGTACATTTTGTAAAATAAAGATTTCTGTGTTCTACTTGTATATTTCTCATTTTTTATTTTTCTGAATTTTTGGCTGCTACATTTAAAACCTCACAAGACTAAGTGTTTCAGGGAAGTTACAGATTCATTGATAGTAATGTTTTTAAAATAAAAACAATTGGAAGTAAATATAATGTAGGAAGACTAGAATTCAATTCCCATACCTGTCCTTTTTTTTTTTTTCTTTTTTAAGGAAGGGGAAGGATCATTATGTTGCCTAAAACTAGAATAAACTAATTATAGTATAGCTTGAGAAAAATATGAAGTAACACATTCAAGCTTTAAAATCTGTCAGTATTCTTTATACTTGAAGAACAAAGTCTCTTTGATTTGAAGTGAGAACTATCATTAGGTGGTTTTCTGATTTCCTGCCCAACACTGGGACCTACTGTATTAATCTGTAGTGAAAAGGATTTGAGCTGCTTCATAAACATTGGGACTGGCAATAATAATAGGGAGATAAGAAACTTTAATTATCTTGATCCTTTAAGTGGATTTTGTTTGGTACATTTCTGCTCTGGGTATGTAGTAAAAGTGGGGTTTTTTTGGTGAAATGAGGGTGAATGAAAGAAATGAAAGGTTTTAAAGTGCTACCCAAAAACATCAGTAAAATTTTTCTAAGGAGTTTAATTGTTAAATTGGAAATCACTCATAAGAAGTATTTATTCTTTAATATGAAAATTTTATTAAAGCATAAATGCTGCTGATAGATTTGATGGATATTGATTACACACATCCAACATATTGAAGAAACTTGATTTCTGAAAATTCTTAAGAGACTGCTTTCTTGATTCAGCTAGAGAAATATTATAGTCAAAACTATTGAGTGAATTTTGTTTACAAATAGGTAAATTATACATTTGTATATTTAAAGTGCTGTGACATAATATCTTTAAGAGTGGCTCAGTTTTCATAATTCATTTTGTCCTATGAATTTTTTAAAATATGTTCATGTGTAATACTTGATCAAAATATTTTGGGGTTTTTTGTTTTGTTTTAATGGGTTAGAAAATGTGTTTACAATCTTGGTCTTACATGATCACCAATGAAATAGGAACTTTCAGGTTTATATCAATATGAGCTGACTTTAACGGAGTTGTTTGGGATAGGGAAGAAGCAGTCCCTCTACAGTATACAACTACTGCTTGCCAGCTGGATCAAAATAATCATGTTTTATGAAAATATCTCCCTTAAGCAGTGTTAAGGTTGGTTTGCAGTGTGCGAGTGGCACATTGAACTGGAAGTTTTCTTGAAAGCCGCTTCATCTTATAAGAAGCAATTTTCAAATTGTAGCAAATTATATTATCCCCTCTTTTAAAGAAACAGTCATTATGATCTGGGTGTGGTGGCCCATGCCTATAATCCCAGCTCTTTGGGAGGCTGAGGTGGGTGGATCACCTGATGTCGGGAATTCAGGACCAGCGTGACCAACATGGACAAGCCCCATCTCTACTAAAAATACAAAATTAGCTGGACATGGTGGCAGGTGCCTGTAGTCCCAGCTACTCGGGAGGCTGAGGCAGGAGAATTGCTTGAACCCAGGAGACAGAGGTTGCAGTGAGCCAAGATCACACCATTGCACTCCGAACTTTGTCTCAAAGATAAAAAAATAAACAGAGCAAAAACTCTGTCTCAAAGATAAAAAAATAAACAGTCATTATGCACAAATGTTTCTTAAAATAACTAAAATGTTCCTCTTAATGTGATTTTAAGCGGAGTTATTTGTAGGTCCTTTCTTAAAAGTAGTAAAGAATCTTCCAGAGGGAAACATTTATGCTTCTAGGGATAATCTTCCTTGTGCCTCACTACATCCCTCAGTGGGTATGACTCTTGTTATTACCACATGCTTTATTAGTATGTTTCACAAATTTACTTTTAAAAATTATTTTAGATACTGTGTAACATGTGCAATCCAGAATAATTTTTATAACAGGTCATGAAAAACATAACTTTAGTTAGGATTCACAATATTTGTTCTCCACATAATGCGAGAATGAATGAGCCTTTGGAGATATTGATACAAAGCAATTATTTTTTGCAATGATGAATGTGTTTTTAGTTTGATTCTTTGTTTTTTTTTTCCAATAGGGCACTACCTGCCATATCATCTTGTATTACTTTTTGATGTAAAGCAACTAATATTTACACTATGCCATATTTTTTTTATCATAGTTGTAAATTATGAAAGATCTTTGAATTTTCTACAGATCTACAACTACTAAAGTAATAGACAAGGGCAATCTTGGTATTTAAATCTGAGCATGGCAGTTCTACCATAAAAAGTACTCTATTTTTCTAATTTCTAGGATTTTTAAAATAACATTTCTGTAAGTCTGACATACTAATAGTCACTCAAGCAGTTACTATTTATTTTAGTTTGCATATATTTTCACTGTTTTTAATTTAATGTAATGTATTGAGTCTAATAGACTGTTTTGCAATAATTAGAATAAAGATTTATTTCTTCTAATCAAAGATGCATAACAGCTATTATCTAGGGGACCACCAAATGTGATTTCAAGGTTTCGTTAACTATTATAAATGTAATCCTTATATAGAAATTTTAATTTTGTAAAGTAGTGTATAATATTGTAATATTAAATTCTTGTTCTCAGATTCAAGTATGTATTGATCTTCAACGTGCTGTGTTAAATCTTGGTTCTCTGAAATGTTGGAGACAAGATTTGTCTTCCTTTTTACAGTTTGTCATTTTCACTGTCTTATTTCTGTATAAAAAAACAAAGTCATTTGTAACCCATGCAAACAATCATTTGATCTGTGCTAACTTATCAACTTGGATATTCAATAAAGTTAATTGAAAGAGCTTATATATAGTGACTAGTTATTTAAAGTTATATGAGCCTGGTACAGTGGCTCACACTTGTAATCCCAGCAGTTTGGGAAGCCCAGGTATGAGGATCACTTGAGGCCTGGAGTTCAAGACCAGTCTGGGCCAGATGGCGAGACCTTGTCTCTACAAAATAGTTTTTAAAAGTAGGCTGAGCGAGGTGGCTCACACCTGTAATCCCAGCACTTTGGGAGGCCAAGGCGAGTGGATCTCCTGAGCTTAGGAGTTCAAAACCACCCTGCCAACATGGTAAAACTTCATCTCTACTAAAAATACAAAAATTAGCCAGGCATGGTGGCAGGCGCCTAATCCCAGCTACTCGGGAGACTGAGGCACGAAAATTGATTGAACCCAGGAGGCAGAGGTTGCAGTGAACCGATATCGCACCACTGCACTCTGGCCTGGGCAACAAATCCAGACTCAGTCTCAAAAAAAAAAAAAAAAAAAAAAGCCAGGTGTGGTGGCTCACGCCTGTAATCCCAGCACTTTGGGAGGCTGAGGTAGGCGGATCAAGAGGTCAAGATGATCCTGGCCAACATGCTGAAACCCTGTCTCTACTAAAAATACAAAAATTAGCTGGGCGTGGTGGTGGGTGCCTGTAGTCCCAGCTACTTGGGAAACTGAGGCAGGAGAATTGCTTGAACCTGGTAGGCAGAGATTGCAGTGAGCAGAGATTGCACCACTGCACTCCAATCTGGTGACAGAGCAAGACTCCATCTCAAAAAAAAAAAAAGTACTGGGGCATGGTGACTCTTGCTTGTAGTCCCAGCTACTCGGGAGGCTGAGGCGGAGGATCTCCAGCCCTGATGCATGAAGCTGCAATGAATTGTGACTGCCAGGCTACTGCATTCCAGCCAGGGCAAGAAAGCAAAACCCTGTCTCTTAAAATAACTAAAAAGTGACACGAACAACTTGCCAATTACTGAGTAGTACTATGTCGTGCATCCAGGTTAAGTCAATGAAAAACTATTGCTGAAGGTGCTTTATTTTATTTTATTTTATTTTATTTTATTTTATTTTTGAGATGGAGTTTCGCTGTTATTACCCAGACTGGAGTGCAATGGCACGATCTCGGCTCACCGCAACCTCCGCCTCCTGGGTTCAAGCAATTCTCCTGCCTCAGCCTCCCAAATAGCTGGGACTACAGGCGCACACCACCGTACCCAGCTAAATTTTTTTTTGTATTTTTATTAGAGACGGGGTTTCACCTTGTTGACCAGGATGGTTTTGATCTCTTGACCTCGTGATCCACCCGCCTCGGCCTCCCAAAGTGCTGGGATTATAGGCATGAGCCACCGTGCCCGGCCCTGAAGGTGCTTTAAATAGCATAAGTAGATGTGTGGGAAGTCAGTTGTAGCCCAGGCTGGAGTGCAGTGGCGCAATCTGGGCTCACTGCAACCTCCACCTCCCAGGTCCCAGTTCAAGCAGTTCTCCTGCCTCAGGCTCCTGAGTAGCTGGGATTACTGGCACGTGCCCAGCTAATTTTTGTATTTTTAGTAGAGACGGGGTTTCACCATGTTGGCCAGGCTGGTCTTGAACTCCTGACCTTGTGATCCACCCACCTCGGCCTCCCAAAGTGCAGGGATTACAGGCATGAGCCACTGCGCCTGGCCTAAATGAATTCTTGATGCTTGCTCCTCAAGGATAGCTGGGTTTGAAATTATGTATCAAAGGTTATTTTTCCATTGATAAGATACTGCTCCATTGTCTTCTGTACCCTTGTGTTTTAAGATGACTGGCCAGGCCGGTGCAGTGGCTCACACCTGTAATCCCAGCACTTTTGGAGGCCAGGACAAGCAGATCACCTGAGATCGAGAGTATGAGACCAGCCTGACCAACATGGAGAAACCTATCTACTAAAAATACAAAATTAGCCGAGTGTGGTGGCACATGCCTGCCTTTTTAATAGAGACAGGGTTTCACCATGTTGACCAGGCTGGTCTCAAACTCCTAGCCTCAAGTGATCCACCTGTCTTGGCTTTTATCTTTAATGTTCTATAGTTTTATTACTCTTGGTGTTGTTTTTTTTTTTAACCCTGCTTGTTAGTCAGAGCACACTTTAAAGATCCTTGTCTACAATTCTGAAAAACTCCCTGTCATTTCCTTTTCAAATATCTGAAAACTGTTCTCTAAAATTAAATCTTTCTGGAGTAAATTTCTTTTCTTTTTTTTTTTTTTTTTTTTTTGAGACGGAGTTTCGCTCTTGTTACCCAGGCTGGAGTGCAATGGCAAGATCTCGGCTCATCACAACCTCCGCCTCCTGGGTTCAGGCAATTCTCCTGCCTCAGCCTCCTGAGTAGCTGGGATTACAGGCACGCGCCACCGTGCCCAGCTAATTTTTTTGTATTTTTAGTAGAGATGGGGTTTCATCATGTTGACCAGGATGGTCTCGATCTCTTGACCTCGTGATCCACCTGCCTTGGCCTCCCAAAGTGCTGGGATTATAGGCTTGAGCCACTGCGCCCGGCCCTGGAGTAAATTTCTATTCCAACTTCTAACTCGGCTGGAAGAATGTAAGTGTTGTATTTCTTCATGTTTGTTGGAATATGGGTTTTCAGGCATATTTGAGTGGGCATATTTTTATTTTTGTTTTAGCTCATCTCGCTTTGTTTCTGCCTACTTCTTATCTATGAGTTTTGCAATTGCCTTTTCCTGACCCCTTCTCCAGAACTGGGGCTCATATTTTAGATAACTGGTGAGACACTGAGATGGCAGAGGATGGTTTTTCTGGGAATTTATTTCCACCCGAATATTTAACACTCTTACTGTGTGTGTGTGTGTGTGTGTGTGTGTGTGTGTGTGTGTGTGTGAATATTTTACCTATGTTAAGGTTTTTTTTTGAGAAGGAGTTTTGCTCTTGCTGCTCAGGCTGGAGTGCAGTGGTACAATCTTGGCTCACTGCAACATCCGGCTCCTGGGTTCAAACCATTCTCCTGCCTCAGACTCCCGAGTAGCTGGGATTACAGGCATGCACCCCCATGCCAGGCTAATTTTGTATTTTTAGTAGAGACAGAGGGTTTCTCCATGCTGGTCAGGCTGGTCTTGAACTCCCAACATCAGGTGATCCGCCTGCCTTGGCCTCCCAAAGTGCTGGGATTACAGGTGTGAGCCACCACTCCCGGCCTACCTTTGTTAAGTTTTAAGTGATTAATATTATAAATCAAGAGACTTTTTTAAGTTCTTACCACATGTGAGAATGCTAATTTATCATCAGCATGTTATGATTTGGAGCATAAGTTTGTCCTCATGAATAGGGACTATTTCTTTTTATTAGTTGGCAGGATTAATCAGGGTGTCATAATTATCACTTCCTCAAATCATGTTTCTCTGTGGTGAGACCAAACTGCAGCATCATTTAGAACAGTAAGATTCTTAGCAAATCATGGCAACAATGGCATAAACCAATTGGTCTGTGTTGGAAGCTTTCTCCCTGAATTCTTCCTTCAAGTATCTGGGGCTTTGAGTCAGGATAATACTCACTTACAAGGATTTGGCAAAAGAGATGAGGCATGAAAATGACTCACATTATAGGATTGCTGAAAACAGCAGGTACAGGAGGTCTTCACAAGCCTGGAGAGGCCAAGCGTGGTAGCTCATGCCTGTAATCCCAGCACTTTGAGAGTCTGAGGCAGGAGGATTGCTTGAGCCCAGAAGTTCAGGAACAGCCTGGACAACATAGCAAGACCCAGTCTTTTTTTTTTTTTTTTTAACAACTTCACTGCTAGCATAGACCCTGTCTTTAAAAGTAAAAAATAGGCCAGGCACAGTGGCTCACACCTATAATCTCAATACTTTGGAAGGCCGAAGCAGGGGATCACAAGGTCAGGAGATAGAGACCATCCTGGCTAACAAGGTGTAGAGACCATCCTGGCTAACAAGGTGAAACCCTGTCTCTACTAGAAATACAAAAAATTAGCTGGGCCTGCTGGCACATGCCTATAGTCCCTGCTACTTGGGAGGCTGAGGCAGGAGAATCGCTTGAACCTGGGAGGTGGAGGTTGCAGTGAGCCAAGATTGCACCACTGCACTCCAGCCTCGGCTGGGCGACAGAGCGAGACTCCGTCTCAAAAAATATAAATAAATAAATAAAAATAAGTTAAAAATAAATAAATAGGTGTGGTGGCATGTGCCTGTGATCTCAGCCACCTGGGAGGCCAGGTGGGAGGATCACTTGAGCCTGGGAAGTCAAGGCTGCAGTGAGCCCTCTTCAAGCCACTGCACTCCAGCCTGGACAACAGAGGGAGACTCTGTCTCAAAGAAGAAAAAAAAGCATGAGGACTGCCTGAGGGGTAAGGGAGGCCAGAAACCTTAAACTGCCATTCTCCTACAGTAGCAGAAATTCTCATCAGGGTCACCCTGGAGTAACCTTGGAGAGTAACATTATCCAAGGAACCAAATGATTTTGTCTCAACCCACAACATTCACACATTTATACTAACTCTTTTTTTTGTTGTTTTGAGACGGAGTCTACCTCTGTCACCCCGGCTGGAGTGCAATAGTTGGATATCGGCTCACTGCAACCTCTGCTCCCTGAGTTCAAAAGATTCCTGTGCCTCAGCCTCCCAAGTAGCTGGGGCTACAGGCACATGCCACCACGCCCGGCCTGTTTTGTAGTGTTTATAAACCACACTAAAAGTTAATATAGGCCCGGCTCAGTGGCTCACGCCTGTAACCCCAGCACTTTGGGAGGTTGAGGCGGGAGGATCACCTGAGGTGAGGAGTTGGAGACCAGCCTGGTCAACATGGCGAAAACCCATCTTTACTAAATATACAAAGATTAGCCAGGTGTGGTGGTACACTCCTGTAATCCCAGCTACTCCAGAGGCTGAGGCATGAGAATCACTAGAACCCAGGAGGCTGAGGTTGCAGTGAGCTGCACCATTGCACTCCAGCCTGGGTGACAGAATAAATAAATAAATACTGCGAAACAAAATACTCAGTACCATCTAAAGTAACATTTATTTCATGAGGTTCATTACT